CGACTTGCAACGGCCAACCTTGCAGCAAGAAGGAGGCGACAGGGAAAAGAATCGTGCAAATCTCTTTGTTGTACCCAATTTACAGTCCGTCTAAATATCGGGATAACTATGAGCAGACAGCAACTAATCTGAAAAAAGGAAAGATCGACATCTGTGGCTTAGGCAGCGGTGGTGATACTACTACTACTACTATACTATAGTATTGTACTACTACTACTACTACTACTACTACTACTACTACTACTAACTACTACTACTACTACTACTACGTCTTTCACAAAATTAGGTAGCTAAACATTTTAAAGCCGATTTTACACTTAGAATAGATTGATTGATAGAAGTCACCATTATATGTTAATATTAGTTATTACTAAGGCCAAGCTTCACCACTCAGGTATTTCTTCAGTTGATGTTGAAATCATCTTCTAATCAAACTGAGGGTATAAATTGAACTGATTTAAAAGTAGAAAGATAAAAAAAATTAGTTGTGATATAATAAACAAACGTAAAACTAAGTCCTAAGAGTCAAAAGTGGGCTATCCTCTGAATAACGGCCCTAAATTATCGAGGCGAAAAATAAACCTTAACAGGGCCTCAGTCATGTGTCATTTGTGAACTTCCGGGGACTATACCGCCACTGCCAAGAGTATCCCCCCAAATCTTCAAACTGCAACCTTAGGAGGACGCAATCTACTGTTTGTTTACTGCGACCATAACCAAGACAATCCATCATTTGTATACATTCACATAACGATATTCTGTAATATTTCAGTATTGCTTCGTCAGGTTAGGGTTAGTGCTACCTCTAACCGCAACCTTAATCTCAGTATTAAATATGTAAAAATGTTTTAACTGTGTGAACTTACACAAAGAGCATTATGTCCCTTACGGTCGATAGTTAAGTAATGTCAAGTCACAGTAGATTATGCCCCCTAGGGTCACCATTCAAAGGAGTGCCCAAATGTAATTCCATGAAATTCCAAACATCTAAACATGACATGAAATGCCGTATAAAAATTCACAATTTGTTGAAATCACCACTGATCACTGGCTAAAAGCATGAAATAGCTGGGGCCTGCAGAGAGTGGTAGATGACAGATAGTCAAAAACTACACAAAAGATTTGAATGGCCAAAGACAGCAATACAGACCAAGAAGCCAATCGAAAGATACTAACCAAGCAGACCTACAAAAACTAGAAGTTGCAGACCGGAATGAGAAAGCCAATCACTGAATGAGCTACCAGTGATGAATGGAGGCGGGTAATATCTGCAACAGGGAATCTCAAGGGCTCAAAATGCTCAAGAAGATGTGTTTATAGGCACTTCCTGAAAATACCGGATTTCCTGCTTATCAATGGCCAACAATATATAGAGAGTTTGAACAGTGCATCAGTGTCCTGTTTCTGATCCATGCTGGAATAGTTGTGAAGGAGAAGACAGCATTTTTGTACTACGCCAAATAGTCTCTGCACTAATTTCTGGATATATGCAAGCTATTTGAGAGCCTTACTGTTTGCTACTGTTGTATTATTATTTTAACTCACTACTGTTAAATTTGCAATTTGTTGTATAAATAAAATTGTATAATGTCACTGTAAAGTAAGAATGTTGTTGCAATATGCTGTTTAATATGCTCCTACAAAATAAATAAGGTAACAAATAAACCCCTGTTTATCATCATATTTTCTTATAGATAGCTCTGACATGTTTCTCTCCGTCAGATGTTACATTAATAGATATGGACTTATAGATAACTGAAAGTAATTTTCAGCTTGTCTGCTGATGTGAAGATCCAGTACCAGTCTTGTACACCCAACTGGCTTCTGGGCTTGGTGAGGGAAAGAAGAGCTCTGCAGTGATATCCCCTTGGAGAGCAAGAGAAAAACATTCAACAAGAGCGTGACAACATAAGTTCACTTGACAGACATCCACAAACCAAAATTTTCAGTCAGCCTCAGATTGGATCTAAACTCGGAGCATACCTCCATTGACCTGGTCTCACTGAATGTGGGCTCCAAAGCAAACTTCAGAGCATGTCTTACATTACATACAAAACATTGTTAGTCATAAAAAGTAAGTCTGGCCGACATGAACAGCGTTTCAAGAAGAAATATGGGGCACAGGTCGAGCCCTCAAGAGCAGTTCTATTTGTGACCTATGCCAAAATGTACACACAGCAAAATCAAAATCTGATCACAGATGTATAAATGCCAACAAAAACACGGAATATAAACCAGGACTATTCAGCTAAGTTTACTTAGGTGCCATAATATTGAGAATGGGAATCGTTGCTGAAATACTTAGGGTAGATTAACTAAAAATTTTGCCCAGGCAGTTCCATTAGGCTACTCTTTTTGATTTCCAACTGCCAAGTGATTTTTTGCGTGCCTAGCGATACACACGGGCGTCAGATCTTACTACCCAGAATACAGGGGAAATTACTGGAAGTCCATGTAAAAAAAAATTCAGCGTTCACCTGAGTAACACATAGTCTTCACAGAGCTTAGACATTGTTTTGTGGAGAGAAGGAATTTTATCAAAGGTCTTAATTGGTTTTGAAAATACATTGAGGGATAGTAATTACGAGCTATAAGTCCTTGTCGACTGGTGTAGATGAGGGCACGATTAGCTGCCTGTGCACTTAATAAACATCCTTGCTGAGCAACTTGCCACCTCAAGCTGGGAAATAGCCACAAATAAGGTCTTGATCTGTCACAGCTTGTGTGCTTAACAATAGGTGCTTGGAGCTAGGACAAAATCCGAAAAGCAGGTTGTAGAAACCAGTTCACCACAGAATACAGAGAAACATAACTTCAAGCTTCGACCTGTAATGTGGAATGTCAGGACTATGTTCTAGGTTTTCCACTGACCTAAAAAAATATAATGATGTGAGAAAAATATCTTCCAACAGACTTGAAGTAGATAATAATGGTCTACAGAAACAGTCCTCCTAGAGGATGGGTCCATTGGAGAGAACAACTATACCTTTGGTTACTGTATATGCAGCCATTTTAACCTTAGCTGAGTATGCATAGGATTCTGAGGGGCTGGACAATGCAGTAAGGGCTTTTCTTAAATCGGATGGCATTTACATACTTGGTGATCTCAGTGCATGTGTGGGGATCAGACCCGAACTCATGGGCAGTTTGCCATGGAAAGCATAACGATGGTTACATGAAAGAAATAATCAAAAGTTGTCAGAATTCTGCACTAAAACTGACTTGTGATGCCTTCTTTAAAACTAAAGACTGTCTTGAGGTGTCATGAAAACATCCAAGAAACTGCCACTGTCACCAGCTAGATATTATTATCATAAGAAGGCAGCTCCAGAATTATGTATCACTAGTGGTGCACTGATTTTGGTCACAAACATGAGGGAAAGTTAAGGCTTTGCAGTGTGTAAATGAGAATACCCCTTACTTCACCTCTGGCACCAGCAGACTCTGTTCTGGTTTTATGACATCTGATGCAAGACTCCTGTCACAAGTCCACATGTGTACCCTGGATAATGGGCTGTGCTGTCCAAAACAGGAGGCAGGGAATCTTGAAGCTGGTTGACTCCACAGATGCAGTGTCCAGATAGCTTCTGGCACTCACCCTCAGTGCATGGATGATAAATATCTGTCGAGAACTCATTGTTGCAGTGAGTGAAGACTATAAGCTGAACCTCCTACTAAATGACAAACAGGGATTCACGTGTCTTTTAAGTGAACGTCCTACTAAATGGCAACTGCAGAAATCCATTTGATAGAATCAGTGATAGGCAATGGAACAACAGACTGGATAGACACTACTCTGTTATGTGCAGTTTCTTGTCAGTATCTGGTGATTTTTAATGCATGTGATTCAGACATGCGCTTTTAACATCATATATGAGAGCTGGAAACTGCTGAAAGTCATGGTATTGCTTTTTGTATACCCTTGCTTGCTGGCCTGAAGGTTTTGGGTTTCTAACTGCATCAAGTCAGATTTGTGTAATTGTCCTGAACTCCCATGTTGACCTAGCCTAAAAAAGGCTCCAGAAGATCTCTTGGGTTCTAAAGGCGAAGGGCATGATGTTGATCACGTCACCTTTTGAGTGATGTGCTTTTTTGAATAAAGATCCATTAATAATTTTTATAGAAACTATACACTTAAGGACAAAGCTGGTTCTCGTGAGGAATGTCTCATTGAGACTCACGAAAGCTGCACGACTAATATTTATTAATAAGATACAGAAATTGCTTTACAGCCACAGGAATAACAGCATCAACTTACAGTAGTACACTAGGTGTATTTTAAGTAGTACTTTAAATGTATTTACAGTAGTGCTATAAATGTGTTTAGTGCTCAAAATATACTTCACTAGTTCTCTCAGTGAATTTTAAGTAGTACTTTAAATACACTTACAATAGTACTCTAAATTCACAGCATATTTCCTGTTAATTTAATTTCTTTTCAGGTGATGTGAACATAACCCATAAGTGGGAACAGACTATTTCAGATGTTACCATTACAGTGTACTTGAATGAAGTGCTGACTAATGACTTGGTTGTTAACATCACAAGTACAGATGTAAACATTAGGTTGTCAGGTAGGGTCATAGGCATTTTTTGAGGTGTAAAAAAAAAGCTTCATTATTATTATATATATATATATATATATATATATATATATATATATATATATATATATATTTTAAAATTTTTGAATGGGTCCTACTCCTTATATCTTAGTGCATCAAAGAGAGGAGTTAGATATATATATTTCCCTATCTTTTGCTATTTGTGTTGATGTCGTACTACATTTCTGTAGTATCTCTTTACTCCTTCCCCCCAATCTTTTTCTGGGCCTACCTCTTGCCTTAGGGCCTGTTCTCATGTAGAATGCTCTACCTGCTGGCTGATTTTCTTTCAATCTGACCAGATGACCAAACCATTTTATTATTTGATGTTCTCTAAAATCATTTACCGGTATTGTGCCTGCCATTGTTCTTAGCTCTTCACTGGTGACTGTGCTCCCCCCCCCCCCCCCCCCCCTAAATTTCTAATACATCTTATCTCACATGTTGTAATTTTACATGAATGTTTTTCACGGGGTGTCCATATCTGATACTGATAGCACAGAAATGGTATAAAAGAACATTTATCGACAGCTTTTTTATGTGCATGTTGATATTTTGATGCCTCAAAACTTGTGCTGTTTAGTACTTTATGTTGTTGGCCTTCCGTATTGTTTTCTATTTCTCTGTCCAATCCTCCATCCTCACTGAATACACACTGCCTAGGTACTTAAACTCCTTAGCTTGCTTTAATGTCTCTCCTTCAACAGTGATGATATATTGAATGGTGTCTTATTTACTTCATTATTTCTGTTTTTTAAATCATCATCGTAAATCACTTCTGCCGTTAAGCGACGTGCGGAGGCCTAATTTGCGATCCAGTGCACGCTGGCTGTCACCGGCTATTATGCTGTGAAGATGTAGTGTCTTTAATGTTGTCGATCCACATTTGTTTTTTAAATAATAATGACCTAAACAATATGTTGCACAATGTATTCTTCTTCTCAGCTTTTCCAAACCCTTGAAATTCACTGCTGCAGATATAACCTGACTCCGTTCATCTCTGTGTTTGCACAAATAATTACCCGTCATATTTTGCTATATCTCATCAGTTGCCTTACTACAGAGTTTACATCAGAACAATGTTTTGAATCCGTTTTGTTGTTGTTGAGGCTGTCGTATCCAAAATATTGGCATAGATTGCATTGATCGATCAATCTGTTTATCCCCTCTGGGTTGCTACCTAAAAGTCTACCACACCATTCTGAGATTTAAAAATCTCCCTTTGGTCAGCAGACCTGCAAGGCAGATCTCACATACCTGGTACAACCTTCAGATAAGTTATAATTAGGGCCTATTTAGGTCAGGATGGATTGCTACACATTTTTCCATATAATAATTATATCTATACTTAAGATTTCTACTTCCTTTTTTAAAAAAAACATATAATGATCATATATGCAGGACTGGTAATGCTTTTGAAGATATGGGCATGTGTGTTCTTAGCACAGTTAATTATCTTTGATGAAATTATCATTGGAAATTTAAAGGACACAGTTTACAACCTGCTTTGGCCTATTGTGGATATCCTGTAAAGTGCCCATTTTTTGGCTTTACTAATGTGATGAGTGATGTTAGGTATTCAGGTAAAGTAAAGGACCCTTTTCCACGCCTTTCAGGCGTATCAGGTATATAGGGCTGGACCTTTATTTTATAGACCAACGGCACAAGATGGGTGGTGTGGTAAGCATCACGTCACCCGCCTTGACTTCCCAGCACTGCACTTTGTAACCACTCATTGCTGGGTCAACCCCGGAGCCAAGGTCATTTTTGAAAAAAGTCTGGCTCTGTCAGGGAGCAAACCCACAATCTTCTGATTCACAGGCAGGTGTTTAGCCGCTGCGCCACGTGACTCCCCAAGTATTCAGGTAAAGTTCCTAAATGTTGGCTGTGTTAATTACTTAATTAGCTTTAATGATGGATTATAGTCTATTGCGAACTGAATAACCTAATGCTTTTGTCATTGTAAAGACACTAAAAAGAGTCAGCTATTGTAATAGGCTCATGCCTGATGTTACCGATTGTCTCATTTGTCTTTGACAGGTGGTAAGTGTTTTGTGATCACATTTCACAAAGCCGTTGAGGAAGACAAAAGTCAGGTGCATCTGAAGAAAGAAGGATCTTCTACTGTTCTCGGTATTCATGTTGTAAAGCAGCACCAAGAACTCTGGGATCGACTAGAGGTCAGATGTGTGTTGCTGAGAGTTCTGTGCTGTTTGTTAATTATGACAAGATTCTTGGGAAACTGGCTAGTACATTGGCTAGATGCTTGTCTGTGGCTCAGTGGTCTTGAATTTGATTCAACATCTAAGATGCTCGCTCAGTATTGCAGACAATACAATCAGTAAGCTTAAATTAGTGCTAAATCAAAATGAAATGGGTCGGCTACCCAAGTAGACTGCTGCAGGGGATCTCAGGCCTCTGCAACATTAAGAGAAATGAAGGAGCACACTTCTTAGCAAAATTGGAAGTCACACAAAACAAATGAAAACCTTGTAAGTGTGATAGAAATTATGAAAACCATATCATTGTCTTGTAACCTTAAGTATTGTTGTTAAGGATGTCAAGAGTGTTAAGCACATGACAGACGGACACAGTGACGTTATAATGACTGTTAATAAATGGGCGCATCACTTTTGACCCGCACCAGAAAGGAGCAGCGTTCTGTTATCCACTTTTTTTTTTTAGAGTGAAGGGGTGAGCCCATGGAAATTAATCAGTGAATGAAGGTCCAGTATGGTGATGCAGGCCTGTCAGTACAGCAAGTGTATATGAGTGGAGTAGGAAGTTTAAACGTAACTTCTGTGTCGATATGCCTGGCTATTGCTTTCTGGACAGTCGGCTTCTCAATACCACTGTCCAAACCAAGACAAGGCGCAGGGCCTGCAGCTGCGATCGAACCCGGCACTCTGACATTACGAAGCGCGTTCGCAACGCCTAAGCCACAGACGCTGACTCTGTCTTAGTACTTGAAAAGCATAAATCAACTGTTCCAAGGCAAAAAGCTCTACTGTGTTGCATATCATGAACTGTTAACAAAATTTGCAATAAGACCCAGAAAGATGCAGAAATATGGTTTCACAAGCATTGTTATACACACCGTAGATGTAACCAACACAGTCATGTTTCGGAGAAGACAAAAACTGGAATTATTTTGTAGCAGCTTTTAGAAACAAATAAATCACTACTGGCGAAAAGTGATACTTAACTGTTTGGCATATGAGATGGCAGATATTAACAGATGACAGAATAAAGCTAGAGAACAAGAGTATGAATAGTTGATTACCCAAGCTTGTCGGATTGGGGATTTATCTCCCTCCTTGGTCCTTCCCTTCTCCAAGCAAAGAGGCATACAGCCACTGCCAGGTTTTATTATGTCGTCCAAGTCTGGAGAAGAAGGGTCAGACTCAACTAGCACCCTGGTCCTCAATATTAGGATTTGGGCAAGATGTTGACAATCCATTATCATTAAAAAAAAAAAAGGACCAGAAACAGGATCAAGTTAACAACAGATGCATTCGAAAATCGCACTTAGCCACACTCGCTTATAAAAAAATTGTGTGAAGATAGTCCTACTAATATTTTGTCCAGACATTAAGAACTGAGGAGGGAAACAAAATATCTAAGTGGTCAATGTTATCAACAGAAGAAGATGGGAATGACTGGGACATGTATGTAGATTGCTCGTAAATTTTGGCAAGGACAGCTCTCTGATGGATGGCAGAGGGAAACAGGAGATGTGCGCGACCTACGGAAATCTGGAGTAGGACAGTAGAAAAGGTAATGAAAGAGTGTAAAATGACATGGAATACCATAGACAGAAAAGCAGCAGATCGGCAGCATTGATTGTCTTATATATCCTGAGCGACATGAAAAGGATACAGGTGTATAAAGAAGCATATGAGGATAAATCCAGGTCATTATGCAACACAGCACATACAGATTTTTTCCTTAGTTCAGCCTAGGCAGGTCATGTTTCTTCCATAGGTTTGATGTATTTTATTCTTATCAGACTCCCACCTAGTGCTGGGCAGAGCTTGTCATTTTTAACCCCCCCCCCCCCACCCCCCCCCCCAAAAAAAGACACGTATATATTTGTGTAGTGTCATGGCTGGATGTTCGCCTACCAGCCCAAAGGTCTTAGGTTTGAATCCACATTGCGGCAAAAATTCTCTAGAATTGACTTTGTCTCCTAGGATGACCCAGCCTAAAATAGGTAGCAGGTAATGTCCTGGGAAACAAAAGTGGCCAGCCTGTGCATCTTGGAGGTAGAAAATTATGTTTCTTTCTAGTGTAGGAAAGGTATCTTGTGTATAAAAGGCTGCTTCTGTTTATGTAGGATAACAACCAAGACCTACCAATAGCCCAAAATTCATAGCCCTTCTCAGGTTTGTCAGTCTACCTCACAAGGCTCCAAAAAACCGCAGTGGCCTAAACTAACTGACAGATGTGGTGGCATTTTGGCAACAGCAAAAAAAAAAAAAAAAAAACAGGGGCATTTATAAGCCACAAAGATTTGAATGTAACCGTCGCTCAGTCGGGAGCTGGTTGAACGAGTCAGAGGTTTATTTTCCCCAACATCAAATATCAATTAATCTTGTCTCTATTTATTTTTATTTTTTTATTTTTAAATAAACTGAAATGTTATCAGTCTTCATATCCCACCCAGACAGGATTTTAAATTAAAAGTTAGATATTGACCTAAACATCTTCTTTTGTCCAGGCTACATCTGAAGAGGAAGTGAGCAGCCACAGTAAACGTATGTCATTTCATCATGGTATGGAAGGAAACAGCCATGATGGTGATACTAGTATAGACAACAGAAGTATGCTAGCAGAGGAACCTGCAGCAGATGATACAGACAAAGCTGTCTGTGTTTGTGAGGAGCAAAGTATGGACTGTGAGCCAGAAATCATGGAGAAAGAAGAAGGTATAAGTTTGCTGCATTTACATTTTTATAAGTTTGGTTAGCTTTTGATTATGGCTAAAATGAAAAAAAGAATGCTGTTTACTATGTTCCAGCACTTTATCTGCTAGGTGATAAATTGTGGAATGCTCCCCTTGCCAAAGAGCTGATGAAACTTATGACACATACAGACGTTAACCACACACTGCACAATGTTTTGGTCGGCACAGAAGGAATGCGTCTTGAAAGAAGCTGCACCTGGATGGCTAAGGTTGAAGATATAATTCAGCAGATATATGTGATCTAGATGAGATTAGTCACTGGAAAGAATTGACAAATACACCAGTAAACTTGCCTGACATCTCTAAGGTTGTCATCACACTGATACTGCAGGGATCAGATTCCTGCGGCCGTAGACACAGAGGTAAGGGCTTTGATAGATCAGCATTCACACCTAGAAGACATCGTCATCTACACAGATGGGTCAGTAAAGCGTGGATCAAGATCAGCATGCGCAGACACAGCACAAAGGATGGGGTAAACAATAAAAGAGGACCGCAGTGCTTACCAGGCAACTATGTCAAGCTGCTTCTAGGGCACTAGCATAGGCAGCAGAACAAACAGTAATTGTATCAGACTCAGTGAGCATACTTTAGAAAATAACAGGCGGTGTGCTCTCTGAATGGGTAGAAAGGATTTGGAAATCGCACCTAACCTCTCCTGCTTGGATCTACACATCTGATCATGCTGGCATAAAGGGTGATGAGCGAACGGACCAACTGGCAAGCAGTGTGCCAATGCATATGGAAAGAAGCATGAACAGAGCAGATATATCAGTGCTGTACGGACTGGGTTTGTGGATAATGATGAATCTCTGACACGTAACACGATAGGAGACATTGTAACCAACCTATGATGGGAACAATTAGTAGTAATACCTTGGAGTGGCTGCTGCATCAGAGTACCGAGCATGCATAGGAATGTCCAGTGTGCAGTGCCGTCAGTTGTGATAACATACAGAATGAAGCTATTCTAAAAATGTACAAGAGATATCCCAGTAATGAATATGCATTGAAATGGAAAGAGACTGGTTTGAGTGCCTCCTCGTGAATACCACAGAGATTTTCAGTGAACAGATCAGCTAGCTTTCTGCCAGTTTCCAGTACATGCTTTTTTGCATCTTTTACAGATTGAAGCATAGATTAATTTTCAGGATTCACACATAAATGCTTTCCTAATCTGAAAAGAACCATTCGAAACACTGACCAATAAAGTCTGGTTAACAAATAGACATGTTTTGCACCTAGTTCAGAAGCATACCATAGTCCCAGGTCAGATGAGAAACTAATTATGGCCTAAAGAGAATGATGCACCTGGGTGCAACCAGAGGGTCCGGCCGGCTCACTGTACTCAGAGGAAAGGCAAGATGGACATACAACCAGGCTATGACTGGCACCATTAGTATTGGAACTATGTGCCGGGTGTTAAGATGGGGACGGAGCATGTATAGGAATGCCCCTAGTGCTTTGTTGTCACTTCTTGACTCAGCTAAACTCCAAAGTCCCAGAAGGAAGTGCTGTGTGGATTGGTGGGAATTAGTTTCTGACGAGCATATCCTTTAGATTGCATTCTTGCCTGTAGACTTCTATGGGTGTCTCTTGGAAGATCTCCTGGGTGTCTGGAAGCGAGAGGAGGATATCCAAATGGTAAAGGAATAATTTTGAAGCACTTACATCGTTTGGATGGAAATTTAATATTAGTCTGGGTCTTTTACTGGTGGACATGCCTTTGTTATGTAGTTACTTTCTTCTCAGAACCTCTTGATGGCCTTTGTTATGTAGTTACTTTCTTTTCAGAACCTCTTGATGGCCAGGATCCTCTGCCCCTTGTTGGTGTGATTTTTGTTGATAAAGCTACTGTTGAAACGTCCTAACTCTCTCTGTCTCTGTGTATGTGTGGTTTTTTTGTGTGTGATCACTTTCTCTTCTTCGGTAAGCTTCTTAGTCACAGTTCAGTGGATTAATTTTGTTTTGGTGTTTAGCGCGACTACAGTCACTCCTGTTTTCATCAATTTTTGTATTGCTTCAATAGCATTGTTTATTTCAGTAGATAACCCCTAAATGTTTACATTTTATTATCTTATCTCATGTAGAACCTGTGTACATGCTGGATCATCTGAAGAATGACTTCTTTGAAAGAGTAAGTAAGACGGGGCCTGTTGTGTAGGAGACTAGTTCTTATGTGTGGATAAAGCTGAATGTATCAATGCAATATCCGTTGGGGGAAATGCATGCAACAGTAAAAGAAACTGATAAAATTTAAAGAAGAGATTCCTGTAACTGGTAACAACGGTTATAAGATCGAGAAGATGGCGCTATGTTGGACACATCCTGAGAAGAAATAAGCAGAGAATCACTAAGGAGGCACTGACATGGAAAATTAAAGGATTGTGAAGCGAGGACATCCAGAAGAAATTTTAAAACGAGCGATGAGAGGTGCTGGACAAGTCCATCCGTAATGTCAGAAGGATTGCACAAGATGGAATGGAGAAAAAGACTGCAAACCCTGTGTGACATATAATTTCACAACATTACAATGATTATTACTCCTGTAAAATCTTTGGTAACCACTGACTTGAGTGTTTCTTTTGTGCGACTTAATATTGATTTTCTGTTCTGCATCTGAATAGAAGTAAAGTGAAGAACCCTTTTTTCACACCTTCAGACAGATTGGGCTTATGGGACTAGATCTATATTTCATTGACCAATTAGCACTTGGTGGGTTATGTGGTCAGCATCACGCAGGCTGCCTTTACTTCCCGGGACTGCACCTTATGCCCACTCAGTGCTGTGTTGACCTGGAAACCAAGTTCATTTTTTTTAATATTCATGCTTTGTCAGGATCCAAACTCATGCCTTTCCAATCCACAGTTGAACTTCTAGCCGCTACACCATTCTAGCCGCTATGAAATGGCGGTTGCTGTGCCTGAATAGAGTATAGTCAGATAATGCCTTTAATAAAATGCATATGTAAAATATTGTATTCAGAAATAAAATGGAAGTGTAAATGCATAACAACATGCTTCATTATTGTTTATCTGCAGTGATTATTAAGTCTGTTTTTATATATTTAATAACTTAATAGTGTATCACATCAGTGGTATAGTATATAAACCATGTTATGACATATGCATTGCTGAAAACAGTGTCGAGGTATGGCATCCTTCTCTAATGCTAGAGGTAAGGGTTACCACAATGGTGAAGGTTGGGATTTTTTCACGTGGACTTCTGGTAATTTCTCTTGATCTCTGGTTAGTAAGATCGGACGCCCGTGTATATTGTTGCGCACGTAAAAAAAAAAACACCTTGGCAGTTGCAAATCGGAACAGCGCTGCCCTAGCAAAATGTGGAGTTGAACATCTACCAAAAGTATTTAGGGATCCTCGCCGGTGCAACGGAGTTTGTGCACTGTGCTGAGATTCTTCAGACTCGGGCTTGAGTTACAAGTAGAACGGAGCACTTATGGGTTACATCTGTGTGCTGTGATGTTGATCCGTCGACTAAACCAACACAAATATTTAAAGAATAAATACCTATCAATGCACTTAACTTTCATGTATTGTTGAACATTGTTCATTTATTTCCTTTTTTTTTTTTTTCAACATGCTACCTCAGCAAAGATAAGATTAGCAGTTTATAAAAACGGTTTAATGAAAGAAGTATTACGAAGAACACTGGTACTATCTCCTGTGAATTGTTTCATAACAGGGACTAGTGTTGACATTACAAGTGTACATCAAACAAGTCGACAAGGACAGTGTATGTATACAATTCAGCAAGCAGGGATTTGTCCTCAAGTTTCACACAGAGTAAGGCTTCTTAATTTTAAAAAAATTATTTTTCATTTTTTGGTAATCTTTTAGGTAACTGCCAAAATAGTAAAAATATACAATAATTATGGCTACTTACAAAAATGGAAACATCTGGGAACAGCAATACAGAGTTCAGGGTTGTATAAAGTTAACTGTTTATCTTTTATAGGGCATCATTGAAGAACCAGGCCAGCAATTTTGGTCTGTTTGGTTTTGCTAGGCAGTGGTGCTTCCAGAAGTTTTGCTAGGCAGTGGTGCTTCCAGTAGTTTTGCTAGGCAGTGGTGCTTCCAGTAGTTTTACCATTGATTACACAATTGTTGGTTCTCGAAACTGTTGTCAGAATCAATGCAAAGCAGTTTGCTATCGAATCGCCAGGAGCTAGAATTGAACCTGGTATCTTGCAGTTGTGAAGGGTGTACCTAAGAGTTGTATTAATGTGTAAATTTGAAAATGGGAGGGGGGGGGGGGGACTTTTAAAATTATTTGCTGAACATAACAGATTGTTGAGTAACATAGTTGTTTTGGGAGTTTAGAAAGGCGGTTTTAAATGTAAGAGGCCTGACTTTAGTTTACCAGATTATATTCAGCCTAGACTAGGTTGTTCTCTTTTCATGGAATGACTAGCCGTCTGCCTAGAGTTTTAGGCGAAGTGTGAAACGCTACAGCTCCAGTGATAACCCTCAGGGATTCTTTATATTTCCACTTGTGAATTAAATCTGTAACCTTGAGCACAAATCCCCGACTTTAAGAGCACATGGTGAACATCCTGGCCACTTTACAGTGAGACTCCTCCTAGCCTCCTAATTGTGTTTACCATGGGGCTAGGGAGTTAGAGGGGCAAACGATATAAGCCTCATTGAAATTGTGATTGTTTTTTGTGTTTTCTGAAACTGTCTAGGAAGAAAAGGCAGTGAGGAAGGGAACTGGCCGCCCTGCCTCATGTCATGGCATGTGAAAGTCTGACATTTCACATTCTAGTGGTAGCACCTGCTATTGCAATACTTGTTTTGCCTTTTATGTTCACTTTATGCTGTGAAAAAAGAGTTAATCAGCACAAGGAAAACACTGAATGTTGATGGAAGTCAAGTAAAGGACCCTCTTCATAACTTTGGCACATCAGGCATATAGTGTTAGACCTGTGTTTTTAAAGACCAATTGGCACTCAATACTTGATATTGTGAACATGATATTGGCCACCTTTACTTCCAAGGATGTTACGCGGTGCCCATTTTGGGCTGCATCAACCTGGGAGCCAAGGTCAGTTTTGAAAATTGTGAATGTGGATTTGAACCCGAGACCTTTGGTTCATCTGGCAGGCATCTATCCTCTACACGACCATGGCTTCTTTGAAACAACATACCACACCAGATTTGAGCATTGGCACTTTTTTGCATCAGAAAAACAATATGAGGCAGATCTAGTAAGAAATGGATTGAAGGAATACTTAAATGAGCAGTTATCACTAGTACTCACCCTGCAGAATGACTGTTCAAAAAACTGCTGCTAATTTTATGCAGAAAAACATTAAAAAGACAGCTGAAAGAAGAAACCCTGTGATGAACATTGAGGTAAGAGGCCGGTGGTGCTGCACTGGGTTCCTAATACGATATAGAACGGAATAGAGGAATCAGCTGCAAGCCCTATATGATGTGTAAATAGCGCAGTCTGATTATAATGACAGGAGGGAAAGAAAAAAAAGGAAATATAACAACCTTTGTCACTCATAGATGTTAGTAACCAAATTAATTGTCTCAGACAGTCTGCAACTTCATGAAGGCATAGCACTAGAAGAAAATATAATGACCTCAGTCTGTTATTGTCGTCTCAGTAATATTGAAGGAATAAATACATGAAAGTACACTTAATCTTCTCGTATACATCTGTAATACTAATATTTCTTCCTCAGGGATGTAAAATTTCTGCAGCTTCATGATAGCACAACAAAGGACACAACATTTGTATGGCCTGTTACAACAAGGTATGCTCCTGAGTTAAAACTGTAATTCTGTATCTGCTGTTTTATGTGTTTGTGTTTTATGAAAGGAATTTAATTTTGAGTGACAAGAAATAAGTAATTTAACCAGTCATGTGTTTGCACATGAGCATGCAAGCATGTCTTTGGCTATGTGTGCATGCACGTGTGTGTGGGAGAGAGCAGTATGTACATGCCAACAAATATAGAGAAACCTCATTAATAGGAACTCACTTAGATAAACACTTGGTCAACATTCCCAGAATTGTGGTCCTGTTTATAATACATCTGTTACTCCCTGATTAGCAAGAATTCTTTCTAAAATGCAAACTCTCTATTTTTCGGTCGCTTGGAATTTGTGTTAACAAGGTTTTATTGTAGGTTGTAAGTTTTTACATTGACACTTTCCAGCATTTGATGCTACTGCCAAACTCCATTCCATCGGAATGTAAATTTATGTTTATATATATACATTTATGCTTATGTATATATACACTCACACTTATATGTGCACATGTTCGCTGCATTAAAATGTATACCCATTCTGTCTTTTTTTGTCTGTCTGTTTGTCTGTCTCTCTCTTTCTTTGTCTCTCTGTCTGTCGAACTGACTGTGTCTCTTTTTTCATTTGTTTTTATCTCTATCTGAAAATGTGATCCACTTGCTCGGAACGAAGCACCAATATGAATTTACAAATGAAAACTTCTTAGTCCTCATTTGTTTCACTGCAGGAAGGAACTTGTACCAGAAGAGTGTAAGTTCAAAGTTAAAACCAATGTCATTGAGATCTTGCTGCAGAAAACATCTCAGGAAAGATGGACATCCTTAGAAGCACCAACAAGGAAAGGTAGATTAGCCAAGTATTCCATGTTTTTTTTTGGTGTGTGGGGCTTCAAAATTCAGAGGGTAGTGAATGGGATTTACAAGTTCACAATCTTTGATGTACTGTGGTTATATTTTTGTGAAGCTGATTTAATATTTTTTTTGGGGGGGGGGGGGGGGGAGGGGGGGGGGTGGGTGTTCATATTTGTGGCTTTGAGACAGATATACGGAAGTCACATTTGGAAGGATTAGAGGCCTCATTGCAAAATATTCACTGCAGCAAAATTTAATTGTTGAAATGGCACAGTTTTAATTTGTTGAGTGTTTTTATAATTGTGGTAAATTCTGTAATTGTGAATCAAATATAACAGATGAAGTAATGAGTCCTCAGTGGCATATTTGACATTGTTGCCCAGTATTGAAAGACTCTGCTTTAAGTTTGACATATATACAGCTTATATACATACAACTCCCAGCAGCTGTAAATGTGGCTGTTTACTTTATTATTATTTGTTTTGTGAAATTTTTTCAGTTAGTTCAGTTTATGAGAATTTTTTTTTAAATCTTTAGGCAATAAGTGGGACTTATACATTAATTTAGTTAAGCTTCATGAAAATTGCTGCAATTTATTTGGTAATATTTTTAAGATTCAGGCAATTGCTGCAGTTGATTCAGTAACATTGTTAAGATTCAGACTATAAAGCCATCAGCTTAACCATTCGAGTAGAGTGAGAAATGATATTATCAGACAGAGTGTGGGAACAACACTGCATCAAATTAATTGAGAAACAGAATATTAGATTTTTGGGTCATCTCTTCAGAATACAGCCACAACAACTACCAACACATGCACTACACATGCAAAGATTTGATGTGAAAGCAAGAGGTCACCCAAAGAAAAGTTTGTCTGATAACATTATTAAAAACCTTCTGCATCAATACAGAATGACAATAGTCATTGCTACCCATCAAGCAGTGGATCTCAGAACTGTTCCTCCACAAGCCGCTTAGCAGCAAAAGTGGAAATTGGTGATAGTGATGCTGGTGACTGTAAGCATTGTGACATAAAGGTTTGCGCTTATACCCGCCATGACAGATCTGGGTTCAGCCACCAGTAGAGTCATGTTTTTTTTTTTACCCGGTATGTCACAGGAGTCAGACTAACGATGGATATAAGATCTTCTTTGCATTCACCAGCTGTAAACTCTACGGAAAGTTCTGTTTGTTCATCCACTTCTGGACTGCAGTCCTGTTCCAGAACTTGAGTGTTGCGTATGCATCAGTTTTACAGATCTGACTAATTTGTATGCAGACCATTCGTTCTTTGCCTCTCAGGCAGATGCACTCCGATTTTGAAGGAAACTTCCAATTAGTCGACTCTTACAACATGCTTTTGGTTAGGCAGTGGTTCTATTCTTGTTTTCCCTACAAAAGGGCCCCGGAATCCACACGGAGAGGATATAAGATAATTTTCAATATTAAATGAAAATTGTCTTGAAGGAAAAGTCCACTAGAAATAAAAAGACCACTAGAGAGAAAAATGGCCGTCCTAGCTTGTATTTCATGGCCTACAGATGTGTGGTGTCATAACACTTTAGTTCACAGTGTCTGTAACTGCTATAAAGAGACCCCTTTTCCACACCTTCAGACAGATTGAACATATGGTGCTAGATCTATATTTTATTGAGCACTTAGCACTCTGTAGGGGATGTAGTCAGGATCAGCCAATCGCCTTTACTTTTTCAGTACTTTAACCGGTTGGTACCCCCTTTAGGCTGGGTTGACCTGGGAACCAAGATCATTTTAAAAAAAGTTTATATCTCCATTAGTATTTGAACCCATGACCTTTAGATCTGTAGGTGAGTGTCAGGCTGCTTTACCACAGCGGTTCCCCCATTACTGCTATGAGACTCCATTTTACCTCAGTATTTAGGTGTACTAATTCTTCCTGTGTGTATATCTAACTGGTATATTCAACAGAAATCCTGGATAACGCCAAGTCGGATACCTGGATGCCAATCAGTAAATCAAACCAGTCATCAGTGGGATCAGGAGGAGCAAATACATTTGTGGATGAGTCAGTGGCAGCAACAAAAGATCAAGCCAACTTGAAAATGTCATCAGATGTCATGTTTGATGACTTGTCAGACATTGATGTCAATAATCAGGGCTGCAGTTCAAAGGTTCAGTCCACATCCAGCAGCCATCTTCAGACAGAAGACAATGAGGGAGCATCTGGCTCTCCGTTTGAGGGCAGTGTTAAAGTGAGAGCAAGTGCTTCACAAGACTGGAACGTAAGTACTGGTATTTGTTAGTGCGGAAATCAGTTCTCATGTTGTGGTTACCCCACTGACTACCACGGTCGCATGTTATTTGATAGGATGACTGTTATGCCTGACTACTTTGATCTCACCCCCTGAGATGTTACTTTGTGTGGTTGCAACCATGTCAAAATCGCAAATTTTGTGGTAAGTGTAGATTAAGCTGTTAGATCATTAATTTCTCTATGTTTTTTTTTTTAGGGAAACAGTTCTATACTGCTTAAAGTAAATTTTTCACAAATGTTTTTTTTTGGGTGACCTCCCATGTTGCTGACGTGTTAGGCAGATGTTTTGATAATGGCGGCTGATCATCAGATTTGCATAGTAGCACAGTTTGGGGAATATTTCTCATACTGTGCAAGATTTTCTTGATATTTTTAAATGGGAAAGTTGAAAGTATTTCTGAACAGTTTGATGACTATGACTTTGATAATTCTTGCGAACTTCCATCAAAAACATCATCAAAACCAAAAGACATTTCTCTTGTCAGCAGTGGTAGTCAGAGGTAACTTTTATGTTACATTAATTCATGTTTATGTTTCAGGTGTGTATTGTTAGATGCATCTGCTAGTGTAGTGTTAATTATGGCTCTGTAGTTTAGAGTTTAGTGACAATCGTTTCACAGGGCAATCCTCAACGATTACCAGAGTGTGATTCCCAAGATGGTTATTTTGGGAAGAGATAATTTTTGTGGATTTTTAAGTTTGACAATTCAGTCATACTGGGGGCCGCAGCACTCGGGGATGCCACGAGCGTATGCCAAGACATCAGTTTAAAATAGAAATACCGTGAAGGAAGCCAGGAAGAGTTCTGGACGCAGGTGTATTCAGAAAACAATGCTGTTGGCAACACTGCAGTGCATTTTCAACATACTTACAAAAAAAAAAAAAAGATACAGGAGCAAACTTACTTTAAGGGTAGGTGTGCCACAAAAAATATGTTTCCTAATAGGGGTATTGTAGCGAAAAAGTTTGAGAACCACTGACATAGATGACTGAAAGTACGCAACACAGAAAGCTGTGAATAGACGGGGCTACCAAAACCACACAGCAGCAGAGGCTGTGAGAATGTTATATACAGATGGAACAGTTTAAAAGTACTGTAGTTTTAAAGTTTCTATTTGTTTTTTAACTGCAGAAACCAACAGCCAAAGTTCGCCCCCTGAACAGCCAGACTTCAGTGACAGAAAATGTTGTGTCTCGGGGTTATGTAGGCCTGGTCAATTTGGGTAACACTTGTTTCATGAACTGTGTGCTTCAAGTGTTGGCCAACACCAGAGAATTCAGGGATTACTTTCTTGGTAAGTACTTTATTATGTAAGTCATTGTTATGCAAGCAGCTTTTGCATTAGTTATTTATGGATATTGTGAAGCACATATTGAGGCGCAAGTTACAACTTACAACTTCTTTTCCAGTATGTCATTGTGTATGTAGCTCCTTCACTCTGCAGCAGTGGTTCTCAACTGTCTTGACTCATGGATCCCTTTTTTAAGAAGCACTTCCTTTGCTAGAGCCTCTTAGGCCTACCGTACTAGAAAATTCAGTTCCAAGAAGGGAACATGAGTAAGAGTGTGTGGCAGGCCTGCACACTTTTGTTGTTTGTCAGAAATTTTGATCCCTCGGGCTCCTTGAAGCACCGGTTGGGAATCGCTGCTCTACAACATGACACTAAAAGAAAAGCAGATTTATTAGTAACTGCATCTGTAGAAATAAAATAAATCACACTTGGTGAAGATACTTCAGAGGTCAGAGAGCATTATTAAATCGCTGTGAAATCTTATGAACCTTGTTGGTTACCTGTCTGATTTTTTATAGATTCAAATGGGACCAGCTGAATACCTTCCATTGCTGAGAATCGAACCTGGTAGCTTTGGAGCCAGAAATGGATGCTGGCATTACATCCATCCCTCCCTTCTTCTTTTTGATTTATTGTGTGTGTGTGTGCGCGCGCGAGCGAGCGTGTATGCGTTATGTGTGTGTGGTTGGAGGAGGAGAAGGAAGTTTTTTTTCCATGTTTCCTAGTAATTGTGGTTATGTAAAGCTGACCTTTACTTCTTTCCCTTTTATGTTATTCAAGGCATTCCCAGTGAACCTAACTGTATTACATGTGTCTAGCTGGTAAAACTAGAGCCACTTACATTTTATTGTTCCTCTGATGACACTTTGACTCTTTCAGTATCAGTCAAATATAGTGAAAAAAAACTTGTTCAAGGGACTGAAAATCTAGAGTCTGTGTGAAGTAAGTGCGTGTTATTCTGTTCAGTTTATACATCACTGCAGGGACCAAAATTGTGTTCATGTTTACCAAGTATTCTCCTTTTTTTTTTTTTTTTTTGTATGAGTTGTTAACCTTTAGGCTCGGTATTATGGATATCGCAACCCTTCGGCCTTGATTCCATGATAGATACCGTAAATCTGGGAGAAAATGTGGCTTTTCTGCCTACCCCCGGGCATAAACCCAGACCACAAGGAGTTTGTCACCCGGTCACCACGTAGTCCGGTTTAGCCAACTACGCTAGCGAGCCGGGCAAGTATTCTCCTTAAGTTATTGTAAATTAATGAGGTTTTTTCCACTCATTTTATCCCCAGAAAGTGTTTTTGCTCAACTAAAAAAATTCTTTGAACAAAATGAGTTAAAATAAAACTTAGAAAATGAGACAGAAGGAGTTAAAAGTAGACGCTGGAGCAGAGTGGAAAAATGGGACAACTAGATGTGGCATAAAAAGTTTAGAAAAGGGTATAATATAAGCAGAAGCCACAAGCTCACAGTGAGTTGGTCAGTACTGGCTGAGTTTAAAATGGTCATTTGATACATCTGCTCTACGATATGTGTGAAATAGTCTGTTACAAAACGGTCTGATTTCGCCAACACACACAGTTAACATACAGTTAATTGAAACTTTCATTTGTATGGTTCACAGGTAAACGACATCATGCCTCATTTACTATATTAAATGTCACAAATGAGAAAGAATAGTCATGGAGGGCATGGTTCCAGCAAGGACAGGCAAAAAATGACTAACACAGAGATGGAAAGAGGACAGTTAAAGCTCCCTTGGCAACAATACAAATGGGGTAGACCAAGTGAAAAAAGATAAGAATCTTTCCGGTGGTTGACAATGAGAGCAGTGTTCTGCTGCATGCCGATAATGTTGGACATGACTGCTTTTTCTTATTCCAGATGGACGGTTTCAACAAGAAATTAATGAAGACAACCTTTTGGGCATGAGAGGTCAGTTAGCGACCACATTTGGAGTGTTGCTGCATTGGCTATGGTCATGCAAGAAACCATACTGGGAACCCCGCAGACTGAAGGTAAGCAGGTTTTTAAACAGTCACAAGAAGCCATATGGGAACCACATAGATTAAAGGTAAGCAGGTTTTTAAACAGTCACAAGAAGCCATAAGGGAACCACATAGATTAAAGGTAAGCAGGTTTCAGACAGTCACGAGAAGCCATAAGGGAACCACACAGATTGAAGGTAGGCAGGTTTCAGACAGTCACGAGAAGCCATAAGAGAACCATGCAGATTGAAGGTAAGCAGATAGCAGACAATCACAATAAACCATAAGGGAACCATGCAGGATTTGCAGGATGCTTGGGGTATGCAAATTCATGAGGTGGTAAACTTGGTAATTTGACTGAGTAGCTTCATAAGAGTGACTTTCTGCAAAGAACCTGATATGGCGATGAATATTTTGAATATTTACAAACATTATTATAATCTTTTCGGTAATTAATTATATGATCTATTCAGACATAATTTACTATTTCAGACATCCTTTTGTTGACAAAAATGATTAATAATGTGTAATGTTGTGTTCTCTAATACGTCTTTTAGGAACTGATCTCTAAGAAAAATGCACAGTTTTTTGGCTACGCCCAGCATGACGCCCATGAGTTTCTGGCATTCTTATTAGATGGTTTACATGAGGTAAGGACATCAGTATGTCACACTTCGACAGTTCATGATTTATTATCTTTACTGCATTCATCACATTTCTTATATGAATTATAAAGTAAGTAAAGGTCCCTTTTCCACGCCTTTAGGCTTTTAGGCCTAGACCTATATTTTTATAGACCAATCGGCACAAGATGGATGATGTGGTCTGCATTACGTCGGCTGCCTTTACTTCCTGGGACTGCACCCAGTACCCACTCAAGGCTGGGTGGACTTAGGAGTCCAGGTCATTTTTGAAAAAAGTCAGGCTTTGCCAGGTAGTGAACCCACAACCTTCCAGTCCACACACAAGCATCTAGCCGCTACACCATGGCGACTCCCTTATATTAAATATGACTTAATTTATCTATTTTATTAATGTACTCATGTTGATGAGAGAGGCCAAAGATGCTAGACTAGATACTAAGACCAAACAGAACTGAGGAATTGACCATGTGTCCTCTTGGCTTATGATGACACAGTAGAAGGATGAGGATGATGATTAATCTACCTCATTAGTTCAGTTGCTAAAAGCTGCACATTGACTATTATACCCGATTAGCCCATTTGCTAAGAGCTGGGCATTTATTCCTGCTTAACCTGGATAGGTTCAGAATAGGGTTGTAGAATTATTGTTGACAAGAAAAGCTCTCTAGGTTTTGCCCCGTACAAAAGAGAAAGCCACCCACTTTAAGTCAGAGTTAAATACAGTCAGCGTTGTTATAGGCTATAATTATATAGTTGCCAGCATTCTTCACTTGTGACTGCATAGACCAGACAGAAGTTCCCCTGTATTCATATACTAGAACTGTTCTGACACAAAGCCTAAAGCAGAAACCATCTTTTCCTTCCTTGCTGCTTTGTCACCATTAACTTGGAGCTGATTTTGTGATTTGAGTATGTGACTAGTGGGTTGTGGGATTTACAGTTGTGTTACCTGCAGTCACCAGTACCTTTGCTATCTCAGATCTTTGCCCTGAGAGAGATTTTCTGCTGTAGTGTAGTCTTTACTATGTGTTAGTTGTCATTTTCTTCCACTGCCTCCTGTCTTATGTTGTGCAAGTTAATTTCTGAAAATATGATTTTTCTTGCCACAATTGCAAAACAAAGAGTGTCCACATATTGGCAGCAATTTTCTTGTGTCCCCATTTATTGTGTTGCTTTGTGTCCTTATGTGCTCCAGGAGTACTATATTTTTGGGTGCTTTGTCTTTATTCACCCCAAACACGGGAAATCCAGGGGAAATCAGCAGCTGGCGGGACAGTTGACTACTTCAGGAGGTGGTATCATTTCATTTGCAACTGGTGTACAATGCTGGTCATGTTTTTTCGGTTCTCATTGCCATGTGAATGTCTAGTGTAGTTAGTATCACATCTGCCTTACAATCAAAAGGCGCCGGGTTCAACCCCTGCATATTTGTGTGTCTTGTTTTTTGTGTGTGTAAATTGTACGGTTCAGCTCTTCGCACACTTTCAGCAACAGACCACCCAAGTATTCATTATTTACCCAAAAAAAACACAATAGAGTAATAACACTGGTAATACAATTAATGGCTCTACTCCGACTAACAGTCCTAACTTATCGAGGCTAAGAAAATACCCTAACAGGGACTCAATGATTGTGACTGTGCCGCCAGTGAAACGCCACTAACTATGTAGTAAACAACGCATGACTAGTCCCACCTTAGTAACGCTGCATCTGTGTCACTTGCATGCATAACCCTTCAATCGTTAGTGTCGCGGTTGGACTGTTGTGGCAGACTCTGGTGGCGGTGTTGTAAATGTAATACTTGTTGCCCTAAGCCTAGGACCCAGGCCTCCTAAACACTAGGCAGGTGTCATAGAACCAGTGGCATTTAACTGTGCTTTTTGAAAAATTCAAAGCGATGAAGACTGGACTAAGACACCGCAAACACAAGTACCTGAAGTTAAACACAAGTCGCTGGCATTGGGCCAAAGCCTTGGCAGCACCCTCCAAAGCCTTGCGAAAACCTTGGCAGCGCAGGAAGACAGCTGGAAACACATTGGACAAGCCCTATCTTACCACCCTGGAAATTATTTGACTGTCCCATAACGCCATCATTGGGGTGAATAAAGATGAAAGAACCTATTTTTGTCTGTAAGCAGGGCTTCTCCCTTATTTATTTTACGTAGGTGTTTTGTTTGTTGGTTTCTGTGTCCATTCAACGGCATTCTTAATAGGACGGACTGCTTTGGTGCTTGGTTGTGATGCTGTCTTGTCATTGTTGGTTTCCTTTCACTGCTGTTGAGGCTATTTCTGTCAGTTGTGATATCAGAACATCGGCTTGTAGTAGTATGTAGAACTGTCTGTGTTGATGCTTGGTTGTAGTACTATCGTGATAGTTTCCTTTTACTGTCATTGAGGCTATTTCTGTCTTTTGTGATATTAGAGCATCAGCTTATGTCTGTCAGTGTATTCTCCACTCTTGACTTGATTGATGCACTTGCTGTCAGCAGAATCAGTGATTATTGTCTTATATTATCCCCCCCCCCCCCCCCCCCCCCCCCCCCCCCCCCCCCCCCCCCCCCCCCCCCCCCCCCCCGACCAGTGTTGATTGTCATTACCTTTTAATTCGCTTAGAACCTTCTTTGTAAGCATGTCCACAGCTGTGTATGTGAAAAAGACTATAACATATAATAAATACTTTTATTGTTATACACATAGCAATTTTAACGTAGATCAAACCTATCTTGAGAAAGATGATTACTTTTTATTGTTTGTGTCTTGATAGGATTTGAACCGCATTAGAAAGAAACCTTACACTGAAACCATTGACTCAGATGGTAGACCAGATGAGGTAGGTTAACATGTGCTGTGAATCCTTTGTTTGATGTGCTGTCGATATACTTTATCCATCATGTGGTGTTCTATTTCAAGCTTGTAGAAACTTCATCCTGTGTGTGGCTTTGTGCCTTTAGTGAATACTGTGTTTATTATAAGTATGGATGCATTAAATTAAAAACTATTTATGGCTGATATTTGCAACCACTGTCAAACATGGCTTATAACTGAAACTATTTAATAGAAGATCATAACAACAGAGAACATGCTTTAGGAAAGCTACCAGAATGTCAAGAATAGATACAATTAAAAGTGAAGAAATTAGAAGATTAGAATGAATGAATCAAGAATAGACATCACTGCGTACATGCTCCATACACTTCCTCAGCAGCCAACCTGGAGTTCCCATATTGATTATGCAAGCTGCAGCTTGATTATAAAGTTTAGCAGTTTTTTTTTTTTTTTCAATATGTTCATATCCTGGCCTTCTAAACACTAGGCAGCGCCATAGAACCAGTGACATTTAACTACGCTTTTTGAGAACAGGTCACTGCATAAAGGGCAAGATATCAGCATTTATGAGGCTGTGTAACAACTGGAAGTGACTGAGGGGTGGGGGGTGGCCTTCTCAGGGCGATAGGGTTTAAGAACAACCAGTCAGATGGTTTGGCCATCTGATAATAATGCCCTGGCAGCAGCTACCACAAAAGGCCAAGCAGAAGAAATTTATTGAATATAGAGCAATGTGAAGACTACACAGAAACTAAAATGACAGCATGAACAATATCTTTCAACTGAGACATCTTCCCCAACATTCTGCTGATGTAACCACTGGAGGAAGAGAAAAAAGTAGAAGAAGAAATGCATTATGCCCAGTATTTAATAATTCTACTTTTTATGGTTGGCATTTTTTTTTAGAATGATAGTAATTGTCATCGCAAGTTGTCTGATATCTCACATTTGTATTATATATTGTGAAGTTTTTCTGGCATAGTTCTCAAATTTGAACAATTAAGAGAGAGAGGTACTGTTGCAGAGAGATAATTTGTGAGATGTTTCCTTGATCACAATTCCTGCTGATTGTCAGAAATTGCTTTTTCCATTCTTACACATTCATTCTGACAGCCTGCAATCAAACATATTTAATTTGCTTCACAATAAAGATTGACTCCATAACCACGCTAAAAGTCCGTGATGCTTTAGTCTTTTGCTAACACTGACATTATAAATGTGTGTGGGCAAGCATGAGTGCATAAAAGTGAGCAAATAAGTAAGCCTTATTGAGTGCTTATTGTGATGTTCAGTGTTAAACATATTCAGTGTTAAGGTAGTTGAAGCTTTGACATTCCGTACTGTATGTATTAAACATAAGATTTTTGAAAGTATATAGTTTTATCTATTCAACATAAGATGATTGTTACTGAGACACTCAGTGTGACATATTTTGCATAAGGTCGTTAAAACTTTAACATTCAATATTTTATATATTAAACGTAAGATATTTGAATTTGTAGTATTGTTTTATCTGTTCAGCATAAGATATGAGACATTCAAAGTGACATATTTTACATAAGGTCGTTAAAGCTTTAACACTCAATAAGGTGATGGGGCCGTGGTGTAGCGGGTTGACGCTTGCGGATGGGAAGGTCGTGGGTTCGCTCCCTGGCGGAGCAGGGCTTTTTTTTTTCAAAACAAAGGTCGACCCAGCTTTGAGTGGGTACCGGGTGCAGTTCCATGAAGTAAAGGCGGCTGGTGTGATGCTGACCACATTACCCATCTTGTGCCGATTGGTCTATAAAAATATAGGTCTAGCCCTATATGCCCTATACGTCCAAAGGCGTGGAAAGGGATCTTTCCTTTTTTTTTTTTTTTAACTTTTGGGCTTTTGGGGTCTGTGACATGCATTTTTTTTAACATCAGGTGGTTGCCGCTGAAGCCTGGGCTCAGTACAAGCAGAGAAATGACTCAGTGGTGGTGGACCTGTTTCAAGGCCAGTACAAGTCAAAGTTGGTATGCCCCAGGTGTGGAAAGGTAAGTGTGTCCACAGTACTTACAGTCATTCTTTCTGTTGACAAGATGTTTGTTCTTTTCACAAAATATTTAAATACCTATTTTATATAAAAATGTGGGGATCTAATGGTCAAGCAGTTTTCTGCATACTCTTATCATTGTGGGTAGTCTGCACTTGCTGCTGAAGATGGGGACAGAACTCTTATGAGAATGTCCCGAGTTATATGAATTCAGTTCTTAAGAAATAACTGATGGCTTGAAAAGAGGGTGAGGGGGGGGGGGATTCTTGGAACTCCACTGCTAGAGCTATGAAGCTTGTGCTTTGTGTGATCCTTTCAGCAGGTGGCCAGCCACTTTTAAAAGAAACATTGAGCCACATGAGAGATAAAATTAGTGCAGTAAAGCTACTCTCTCACTTTAAGTATAGTCATTCAGCCATGGTGTCTGAAAGATTAAACTGCAGCACAAAGAAGGCAGCTTTAAATAGTCATTATGTTGTATCATCAAGTAGCATTTCTTTGCAGAATGGCCCTCTTATCATGGTCTGCCTGAAAGAAACCCAAATCTCGTCCCAGCTGTGACACCTATTGCATTTTCCTACTCGAGGTGTCACTTTTATTGTATGCCCATATTCATGCTGGTCGGCTCTCACCCCTCTTTCTTGGAACCATGTCTTCTGCTATTATTCTTTCTAGTCAGCCATGATGCTTGATAACTTCAAATATTTCTGTTTCCATGTCAAGATGCTGTTTACAAGTCAGTTTTCCTTAATGTTCATATCTTTAATGATGTCAGTTTTTCTTTTTTTCTTGATCTGTGGTATTCCGAGAATATTTCTATGCATTTCATATCAAAGGCCCCTATTTTCTTTCTTAGAAATATAAAGATGTATTTAGCTTTATAATTTTAGATATATTCACGATAGCTCCTGTTATACTGCTACAAAGATCTTAATTAAAATTGTGTTTTTTGGCTTCATTTGTTCAATTTTTTGCTTCTCTCTCATAGTCAATATCATGTGGCATCAAGTCCTTATGTTGTCAACAATCTCCAGTTGTACGTGTTATTACCAGACACTTCTTCTACAAAGCTTTTTCCCATTCCATAATGTCGAGATGTCTTCTCTGCTTATCTTCATCTGTATCTTCTCCACTCCTGCCCTCCTAATCTTATGTGATTTTGCAATTTACTTTGTTGATTACATGTTCAAAGGATGTAGGTTGATTTCATCTTTAGTAAATAGATCTCCTTACTGGGTTCATTTCTTTGGAAATGATTTCATTACTTGTTTTTATTTGAGCCCAAAGTTTTCTCACAACTGTTCCAGAAAACTTGGTCTCTGCTGCAGCCTGTCAGTGTGTAGATGATTTCTTACTTAATTTCATATGATTAAATTCCTTACAGTTTCAGCACTGATGTGAGAGAGAGAGAGCAACAGACTATATTTTCAAAGAGTCACTAATTTTTTGTGCATGCCCATCTTACATTTGGCCCTCCAAACACTCATCTTTCATACTATAAAGCATTTTACGTTCATATAACGAGTATACATAATATGAGTATCAGTTAAAATACAGAGCAAGCGAGATATTGAAATATTTAAATAAGTGTCAAGTACGTTAAAAATAAACTGTTTCTTGACATCCTCTTCCAGGTCTCCATCACATTTGACCCATTCCTGTACTTGTCTGTACCACTTCCCAAGAAGAAGAAAACTGTGACAGTGACCTTCATGTGGAAAGAATCCTATAAGAGGCCAGTTAGGGTAGGTATCCATCATCATCATCATCATCAGGTGCCTTGTTGACTGGCATGGGCGATCATGCCTCTTCACAATCTGCGATCTCCTGCAGCAAGTATCAGTTCGTGTATCGACACACCTCCATGCCATGCAACAAGACTGTCAAGAATCTTCTCTCATTGTCTTCCTCTATCCCTCCTTCCACAGATCTTTCCAGTGGTCACAGCATGTTCTATTTTCCCTCTTCTAAAAACATGGCCGAAAAATGATGTCTCCTTCTGATGTCTGTGATAAGTTGTCTTAGAGCTCCCGCCTCTATCAATACCTCTTAGTTGCTTTTTTTTTTGGCTGTCCAAGGTATTCAAAGCATTCTTCTGTAAAACCACATCTCTTGAGGCCTGAAGAAATTGTTTGGCCTGCCTACCGACTGTCCAGGATTCACAGCCATATGTTAAAACTGGATGCATGTAGCAAGCAGTGTTAAAGAGGCAGGTGGTGCATTGGTTGTATATGTATGAGGGCAGGTCACTAAGTTACAGATGAATCCATTAGTAATTAATATATTTCCTTAGGGCCCCATTTTGTGTATTTATATGTGTGTGGAGGGAAAGGGGGGGGGGGTCTGTTCTATTCAGAAGAATAGACCTTCCCCCCCTCCCCTCCTCCCCCCCCCTCCTCTTTCCCCCAACAAGCATGCCGTAAAAGTAGACTAATTAGAGGTGTTTTCTTTGAAGATTGAGTGCATCTGCCCAAAAGGTGAGGAACCAGCTGCTTGCATACAAATAAGCCAGATATATAAAATGGTTGTTTGTAAAATCAAGCTCTGGAAGATTACTAAAGTCCAGAAGTGGATGAACACTGGAGTTTACAGCTGGGGAAGGCTTTAAAAAAAAAAAGAGGAAGAGGACAATGCAGTGTAATATTTTTTTATTGCACATATATTTCCCACTTTATTTATTGACAATTTCAACCAACATTGGCACATTTATCATTTACTTCAGACATGCAGTAACATTGAATTTATCTGCTCAACCTCTGCCTTATTCACAACAGGTTAACCAGCAAGGCGTGTAACCCTTACCTGGTTATGTTTAGGCTAAGGGCAACAAAGAGATAGAACCACAAATAGTTAAGTAAGACCTGCACACATAAGGCTAACTCTGCTGATATACCCCAATATTTTCATTAGCTTTTGGTTTATTTTTGGGTGTGTGATTATGTAATAGTGACACCTGTCTGTTCATCAGTATTAGTTTTCTTCTATGTCCGCAGTATTCTCAGCTTCTTTCTCAGAACCCAAGATTAGGAAGGAGAGTAGTATTATCAGGAATAAATTATTATTGTTAAACTTCCCAGATTTATCCTGGGCCCGCCCGAACCTTGTAAAATCTGGACTTGAGATCAATACCAAAATCTGTCTGCTATTCCGCCTGACATATAGAAGAGGGGAGGACTGGTTTCAGAGGCAGTCTTGGAGTGTAAGCCTCCATGTAAGTTGTATAACCAGGGCTTTTTCTAGACAGAAAAAAGATGCCTGTATAAAATGTGCCAATAAGCACTGCAAATGGTCTGTTACAGTGTTAAAGTAAAGTAAAGGTCCCCTTTCCATGCCTTCAGGCACAGAGGGCTAGATCTATGTTTTATAGATCAGCTGGCACCTGGCAAATGAGATGGTCAACATCATGCCAGCTGCTTTTACTTCCCAGGACTGTACCTGTACCCATTTAAGGCTGGGTCGACCTGGGAGCCTAGATAATTTTTTGGGGGAAACAAACAGTTCAATTCCATCAGGACCTGAACCCATGACCTTCCGATCTGTAGATGAGCATCTAGCCTCTACATCACACCGGCTCCCCATTACAGTAGTGCTTAATTGGGAGGGGGAATGCCTTTATAAAAGTGCTGAATGCTACTGTGTGCCATTGCTTGCCATCAGAAAAAATCGGTATATACCTGTTAGATATTATAGTTATTTTGGTATTCACAGACTCTTTTTTGTTTTCAGTATCATATACAGATTCCACAGGACAGCACAGTAGAAAAGCTGCTTGAGGAGTTATCTGTGAGGACAAATGTTCGGACAAGTGACGTAAGTTGGTGCTTATGTGGATCATTTTCATGTCATTAATTTCACATGATTTTATCATTCATGTTCATGTGTTTGTTTTTTTATTGTACCATCTTGACAATTTCTGGTGGCTACAGTACATTCACTGTTGTCTTGGGGGGAAAATTACGAGTCGTGTATCTACAGTGTATGAATTCACAATAAAACATTTTGCTCCTCTACATTTGCTTTCTTGTATTCTAGCCTATATTATGTTGTTGGAAGACAGATATAAAGAAGCAACTACAGTTTTACAATTATTGACATGGAATTACGAATGATGATAGCAGGTAAGCAGTTGGGATGGAGTCAGTTGTAAACTACATCAAGAGACAACAGGTCAGCTGGTTCAGAAGTGTTCAACTAGAGGTCGACCATGCAAGTGATGGACAGATAGAATATCTGAGGTTGTTAATACCAGCGTCTGCGCAGCACATACCAAGGCTCGCACCCGATGCCTCTTTAAAACCTGTTTTTTCTAGTTACTTCCAGCATTTGCTACAGACTTTTCATTTCTTTTAGAGGGGATGAGTGGTCTCAAAGCATGGCATCCGCCTTGAGTGCTGGAGGTCCCAGATTCATGCCTTGGTGAAGGCTGGGATTTTTTTCAGATAATTTTTCCTGGAAGTATGATCGGACGTCCGTGTGTATTGTTGTGCACGTTAAGAAAAAAGAAATCCCTTGGCAGTAGGAAATCGAAAAACAGTAGCCTAACGGCGCTCCCTGGGCAAAATTTGGAGTTAAAAAACTACCCGACGTATTTCAGGATCCTTGCCGGTGCTATGAAGTTTGTGTACTGCGCTGAGATTCTTCAGACTCAGTCTTAAGTTAGAAGTAAAACAGATCACTTATGGTTTACTACCCTTGTGCCATGATGTTGATCCATTGTTAAAACCTGAACCTAATCATTTCTTTTTTTTCTTATTTTTTTTTCTTGTGTTGTTAATGTCGACATATGGCACTGGTAATGCAGTAGCTTTTGTATTAATAAACAATTAGCAGTGTCTCAGAAACGAAGGCATAAACTTATCTGAATCTGAGGCTTAGATATCTGTTTCAAGACAAAATTAGGTTTTACAAAGGCTGGTGTTTCAGCCCCACACTTAGCTCCCAGCCTGGAAGATCAGGATGTCTCTTTCTGTTCTCTAATCTTTGACCTTTGGCATAGTGGGGGGGGGGGGGGTGCTTGCTGGTAAATAACTACCACCAGCATGGCTCTCAGGGTCATTGAGAAGTGTAAGCTGCCTCCTTGCGACAAGGTGGAAAACCTTTGGGAGTGTCTAAAAGCAGTAAAGCCTTATTACAGATTTTTTGAAGAGTATTACAAAAGATTTGAAGACCCATCAGAGCAAGGGAATGAAGCTACAATAAAATTCACATGCTGTTTATCACCACTAATTATTAGTGTAATGAGGGCTAATAGATTACATTGGTTGGGACATATAAAGAGAATGACAGATTAACAGAGAGTCAAAAGACTACATACACAAAAGAGTAGAATTGGGGTAGACCACAAGGTAGACCAAATAGATGATGGAAAGATAATATACTGGCAGGCCTAAAAAAACACTTGGAGTCCCCTATCACATGGATAAATGGAGGCAAGTCATATCTTCAGCAGTGAACAGGCTTCTTATGCTGAAGTAGAAGAAGTCATTTTTTTAAATAGAAAATGAGATGACCAAAAAATCCAGAGTTTGTCATATCTTAGTAACAGAAACTAGTAGCTACAAAAGTATTATGAAAACAATATGAGAAATTATGCTAAACAAAGAATATGTAATAATTGCAAGTTGTATTCATCATAGTATGTGTATAGTCTACATTATTATATGGTGCAGAGTGTGGTAAGTAAATTTTACCCCACCAGGACATCACACAAAGCGATAAACACCCGGTGACACAAAGTGCCACCCTGCAGATGAGGATCACCCATGGAGAGGCCCCGGAAACCCCATTCAGCTATAAGGCCATATTTAAGGCTATATTTAGGGCACCCGGCAAAAGCTATTGTGGCGCTTTAAAATGACTGAAAATTGCATCCCACATGGGAACAACAAGATAAGTGAGGCAAGATAGTAAAGCTGTCCAAGACAGTAAAAAAGAAACAAGAATGACAGTACAATATTAATATAATATATTTTGGACATATGCATAAAACCTTTACAAATTGATGAATTCTCACAGTTCTTTGTAGCAAACTACCCGTATGAAGAGGTTACATCTCAGATCTCATTATGTAAATTTTATATTATTTTAAACAAACAAATAATGTTAATCGCATATCTTCTTCATCGTTTGGCAGTCATTTGTATAGTATTTTTTACATTTTATTTTGTAGATAAGAGTATTTGAGGCTTATAGAGGTCGCATAAAGAGAATTTTCACTGCTGGGAGCAGACTAGATTACGTTGAACAAAAAGACACGATTATTGCGTAAGTTTTTGTTGTTGTAATTGTCTTCTGTTTGTTTTATAGTTATATTAGAATTTTTTAAATTTAAATTGTACATTTCTTCTTATTCTTCATTTTTCTTCCATATGACCTAATAACATTGTGCCTGTTTACAGTATAACTGCGATATTTGTGCTTTTCAGCCGATGCATCTGACTTTACCAGGCATGTGTTCACTGGTTTAGCCTTCCCGTTTGGTTTCATGGGACAGGACCGAGCCTTATTTTTAAACATCTCTACTGGATAGTTAGTTGCATATTTTTTCCAAGGCGTTGCAGAACCAACCCCAGAATTTATTGGCTGTTAGTGATTCTTCGAGGTAGTTTTTGCATTAAGTAGTTTTTCCATTACTTTCTGAACGATCAGCTATCGATAACACTATCGAAAACAATGCAAGACGGTCTGCTGCCAAATTATCCACAGCTGGGATCGAACTGGGTACCTCAGAATTACAATCCGCGTTTGCAACACCTAAGCCACAGGTGCATGTAGAGTTGGTGAAATTAAATCCAACTGTACCTTACTCTGACAGGGCATTAATGAAGGAGGACAAATAATGTTGCCATGTTTAACCAGCTCCTTTATCAAAGGAGCTTATAGTGATAATTGTAGACTGTTTTACTTGCACCAGGTTTATTGGCAGAAATTGGGTTTTTGAGCCATGGTTAATGGTTCAGTGTCCCTGTTATTTTTTTTTCTTTTATGGTTGTCATCCCTGCCTGTTGGTGCTACTGAGGGTCTGTCATGTCCATCCACCTAATTGTGCTTCTTGTTGTTTTGGCGTAATTGTGTTACATAGTGCTTATTCTTGTTATATCCTATTGACAGATACGGTTTAATAACTATCTTTTTTTTTTCATCCTTTTTATGTCCATGGCTTTGGTCTTCTTCTAGGTTTGTTTTTTAGGTGATCATTATTTTTTTATGAAGGCCTGAGGTACCTTATCAAGAATACGGAAACATGTTTCTCTGGGAACTTAATCATCTGCATTCCTAGGCATGGAGCATGATGATGATTAAATTACAGCAGATCATTGGACTTAATGAAGATTTTATAATTTACGTCTTTTTTAATATTTTTGTTTTTAATGTTTTTTATTCTAAAACAGGTGTGAAATCTTATCTGAGGAATTGGCAGGAGAAAAGGTTCTGGAGATATTTGTTATGCAGGTAAAGTGAAGTAAAGAAACCCTTTTATTATACTTTGGTTTGTTGCCCATATGGTAGTGAGTTAAGGTCAAAGACCCTTGTTCACACCTTATGGCATTTTGGGCATATAGGGCAAGACCTGTATTTTATAGACCTGTTGGCACTTGGTGGATGATGTGGTCAGCATCTTTTTAGACCAATCTGGATTTGATGGATGATGTAGTCAACATGCCAGCTGCCTTTACTTCTAAGGACATTTCCTTGTCGGCCAGGGTCAGTTTGAAAAAACCTGTCTCTGTGCAGATTTAAACACATGACCTTGGGGTCAACAGGCGAGCATCTATCTAGCCATTGTTCTGCCACAGCTCCCTGGGATTTAAACATAAACCAAACACAATTGGTCTAAAGAAGGAATAGTTGAATTAAGGAAATTATAACTACATATTGATCATCTGCATTGAAAGTATACGACTAAACACCAGCAATGTAATCAAAGTCAGAGCATGCACTTTTCCTGTAGCAACACACAAGTGTGAGTCATGGACTATCTCGCCGTCATTAAGAAAGAATAATAGAGCCTTTTAAATTGAAAAGCTATAGACAGATTCAGAGAGTATAGTGGACTAAAAAGATTAGAAATACTGACTTCGCAAAACATCTGGACATCAAGGAATATTGGCTAATAAATAACATCTAAGAACAATGGTGGACACAGTATTGGTAAGTGTTTCATAGAACATCAAAGAATCAAAATGTTTCGGTCAGCATGTAACAAAATCATACAGCAGCTAGAGCATACTTTATGAGAACTAGAGCGTACTTTATGAGAACTGGAGCATACTTTATGTGAACTAGAGCGTACTTTATGAGAACTAGAGCGTACTTTATGAGAACTAGAGCGTACTTTATGAGAACAACAGACTGCAAGAAATGATACTGGTCTCCAGATTTAACCAGTTAAAAATGGGTACCAGATGTTCTGGAAAATAAAGATGACCGCCCTCATATTGGCTACTTGCCCACTAAGTGCCTTAATGTTATTTTTTTTTTTTTTACTATAAAAATGTTCTTTTTTTTTTTAACTATAAAAATGTTCAATTTTTTTAAAATATAAAAATGTTCTATTTTTTAACTATAAAATGTTCTATTTTTTTTTAACCATAAAAATGTTCTATTTTTTTCTTACTATAAAAATGTTCAATTTTTTTAACTTAAAAAAATTTTTTTTTTTTTTTAACTATTAAAAATTTTCTTTTTTTTTTTTAACTATAACAATTTTGGGCTCTCCTGTCAACTACGGCCGGTAGACAGCAGACAGCCGGTTAGTCAGAGTTCTGTCCCCTGGCTGCAATTACGGACTGGAGAAGGCACGAATCAAACAACAAAGTGAGGTCGACATGCCTGGCAGAACCGGCGCTACGACTCAAATTAGCGACCGCGTTCAATTACCGCTTCTTGCGACGCATTACGGAGTGGATTAGAGGGAACGAAATAAGTGACATAATTACTGTGTGTTGGCGATAGACAGAGGGCAGTGCCCTACTGTCATCATACGGTTAGGGTTTGGGTTAGGTTCAGGGTTAGGGTTTGGGTTGCTACTTTGAGTTTGTGCGAAGACAAGATGCGGCGACACTAACCGTAACCCCCCTAACCCACACCCTAACCCAAACCCTAAACCTAGCCCAAACCCTACCCCTAACAATAACCCAAACCCTACCCCTAACAATAACCCAAACCCTAATCGTATGATCATAGCAGGGCAGTGCACGCTGTCTATCGCCAACACACAGTAATTATATCATTTGTTTCGTTTCCTCCTGTCCAGTCCGTAATAGCACTGCAGCTAGGGGACATAACTCCGACTAACCGGCCGTCTACTGTTGTCTACCGGCCGTAGTTGACAGGAGAGCCCAATTCTGACTGACACCCTATACTCAACATTATTCAAGGCATGCACAAGAGTTCTTTATTTTTACTTAGCTACAAATTTGTTAATAATGCCCCTACATATGGATACACTTAATTAATTGAATACTGGATTCTGACAGAAGTTGCTCTTAATGACTTGAATACTGACAGAAGACGCACTTAATGTCTTGAATCCTGGCTTCAATATTAGATGTAGTTGATATGGATGAATTAAAAGGTAAAAGGTCTGTAAAGAGATTGTATAAATGAATGCATTATTAAATTTAGCCATGTTAATGTCAAATATAAATCTTCGATATATCTAACAGAGAACACTATACCCGATTGACTACCCTGTCCGTTGTGCTTTCTGTCACAAACCGTGTTGTGATGGTATCATGTTAAAGAGATGTACAAACTGCTATAGAGTTGGGTACTGTGATCGGTAAGCATTGCTTTGTTGATTCCATTTCAATTGTTGGCCCTCTCCCATCATCCCAGAAAATGGTGTTACATTGTGATGTGAGGAGACTCACAGCCCATGGTGATGATGAATGTGACTAGCAAGTCCCAACTGCGTTAAAAAAAGTCTTCTACAAATAGAGCATGGCATTTCAGGACCCTTGTTGCCAGCACATGTATTTAGTGTGTTTCTTCTCAGATGCTTAGCTTTCTTTTTTTTCTTTTTTTGCAGTTTTTATCATTTATTCATATTCCTTTCTTGCTTTGCCCCCTCCACACAACATAGTCCATGACATTTTTTTTAAATCCCCATGAATCTACCTAAATACCTGTATAATTCATGTCCCACTTTGCGGCAACGTTCATGTTTTGTTTGTATTTGTTATATTGTGAAGCTTGCTAATATACTTTTCGTTCAGGTTTATATATTTTCTTGATGTCCCACTTGCAGACATCTTTATATCATTGCTAGAGACCAGTCTGACATCTTCTACCCATGTGAAATTCACCCTGGAGGATATCTTTAGGGGCCCTACCATCCCCCATTCTGCGGGTGTGACTCAGCCACCTGATCCTTCGGAGACTGAGCATTGAGAAAACTGTTGTGGTCACAACCAACTTAGATTAGAGTACGCTGGACAGATAAAAAGAGTACTGAAGATATCTTGATAAAAGCTGACTAATTGAGAAAACTGATTGCCCACATCAGAAGGAGACAATCTACATTCTTTGTTCATGTAAGAAAACTGGAGTACATAAAAACAGTGGGAATGCTGGTGGGGAAAAGAAGCAAAGGGAGAACGAGAGAGAAGAAGCTGGACAGATTGACATTTTGGCATAGAAGATCATCTGTATCAGAACTGATTGAAAGACAGATTGACATTTTGGCAAAGAAGATCATCTGTATCAGAACTGATTGAAAGACAGATTGACATTTTGGCATAGAAGATCATCTGTATCAGAACTGATTGAAAGTATAAGAGACAGTATATTGTACATAGACATGACTACCAATGCCACATTGCATTGACTATAAGAAGAAGAAAGGGTATTTGCAATGCTGACGTGTCGGGCGACTCAGTCTAAATGCATGTATATAGCTTATGAACATGTTACTTGTTGATTGTATATTTGAAAGCAGCTTGAAGGCTTGTTCTTAGCAGGGTATTTTGGTGGTTTTCTCTAGACTTCCATGTGAGTGATTTGTGACCTCCACCGATGACAACATTTCCAGGGCTGGGTATCCTGATGATACAGGCAAAACTCAGTACCACACATCAGTTGCAACTTAAAGTTGTTATTGTAATACCCCTGTTACTGTGTCATCGACATCAAATAGTTATGGTCCCTGTGTGGGTTCTGGGGCCCTGTTATAGGAAAAACAAGAATAGACCCACTGCCTGCCCAAAAGCATGTTGTAAGAGTCAACTAATTGGGAGTTTCCGTCAAAATCGGAGTGTATTTGCCTGAGAGGCAAGGAACCAACAGTCTGCATACAAATGAGTCAGATCTGTAAAACGGATGCACATGCAACTCAGGTTCTGGAACAGGACTGCAGTTTAGAAGTGGAACAACCAGAAATTTCCACCAGAGGTTACAACTGGTGAACCAAAGAAGAAATAGTTATGAGGGACTATAATAAATCAGTGTACTTAATATACTACTTGTCTCCTTTTTCAGAACATGTCAAAGAAATCACTGGAGCTCGCATAAGGGTCAGTGTAACCCATTTGCAGATCCAGTTGGGTGCCCATTTATGATTTCATTGCCAGCCTCAAGAGCTACTTATAGGAATTTGATCAAGAACATGGAAGCATTGTCAAGGTAGGGAGTTGTTAACAGTACCTTTTAATGTTGTGTGAGTTTTAAAACCTGTGTGATAATCTCAGTCCTGTAAAGTCAAAATAATACACCTATAAATAATACAGCTATAAAGTAGAATATGTTGAAGTAACAACTCAAATAGAGTAAATTAGTGTAAGAGAGGAATGGGGCAGAGGACCTAAGTTAGAAGAAAGTTAGAAATGTATACCACTTCATGAGTCACTAAACATTTGTCTGTAGAAGCTGCCCGGCTCGCTAGCGCTGTTGGCTGAACCGGACTGCATGGTGACCGAGTGACGAACTCCTTGTGGTCCGGGTTCACGCCCGGGGGTAGGCAGAAAAGCCACATTCCTTCCAGATTTACGGTATCTATATGGAATCAAGGCCGAAGGGTTGCGATATCCATAGTACTGAGCCAAGGGTTAACAACTCATGGTTTCTGGATACTTTTTAAAAAACAGTCTATAGAAGCTTATCAAACAGGAGGCTACTGTGCATAGAGTAGAATAGAGGAATTCACTTAGAGCGCTAAGGGACATAAACAGCACAAGAGGATGATGCTTACATGTTGTCTGACTTTTGATTTAAAGTTGACAGTGTTTGCTTTTGTTACAGGTGTTCAGTGGACCTATCACTGCCACCAGTGCAATCATCAGAAGGTGGATCCATAATTGAAAAAAAAAATTAATTTTTTTTACAAGTTTTCAGTGGTCACATTCCTGCCACCAGTGAAATCATCAGATGTAGGATCCAAAGTTGAAAATATTTACTTTTGTTACAGGTTTTCCGTGGATGTGTTTCAACCACCAGTGAAATCATCAGATGTAGGATCCAAAGTTGAAAATATTTACTTTTTTTACAGGTTTTCCGTGGATATGTTTCAACCACCAGTGAAATCATCAGATGTAGGATGCAAAGTTGAAAATATTTACTTTTGTTACAGGTTTTCCGTGGATGTGTTACAACCACCAGTAAAATCATCAAATGTAGGATGCAAAGTTGAAAATGTTTACTTTTGTTACAGGTTTTCAGTGGATGTGTTTCAACCACCAGTGAAATCATCAGAAGGAGGGTCCAAGAGCTCAGCATCGTTCACCAGCAGCACTTTAAACAACTCTCTGAGTCAATCCTGCTCCAGTCTGAACAGCTTGGATAGCTTGTCTTCTACTAGTAGCACTTGTACTCTCACTGGCAACCAGTCAGACCATCTTGAAGTGGGAGAAGATCCTGAGGAAGGTGCTTGTGCGGATCAGTCTGGTAAATAGCATTTGCTATACATAACCTTTATACTGTATGTATACATGCATTTGAGCCATGTAGGCACAGTGGCTAGCATGCCTATCTGCCTGTCTGGTGGTCATAGGTTCAAATACACTTAAGACGTTGGTTGTTTTTTTTTAGGTTAAAATGTACCTGGGCATTAAGATAAACAGTACTGTGAGAATTTCTCAAAAGGAATAAGTCATTTGTATGTTATCGAGTGCAGATTAGTCTGCACAATTATGGGACTGGTATCATATTTCTACTGCGTAAAAAGGGTCCTTTACAGGGTTTCTTCTTTTGATGTATTTATGTTTCTTAAGGGCCTATTGGTCTAAAAGAATCTTAATCTAGCATCATAGGCCTGGTGTACCACTGGCCTGAAAAAGGTCCTTTTTTTTTATATTTATTTGTGTTTATCAAGGGCATACTGATCTATAAAAATCTTAATCTAGAAACATATGTCTAAAAGTACTGGAAAGTTTTGAGAAATGCATTTCTGGTCTCAAGACTCGGTGAAGAGAAAACTGCAACTGCACCTCCATGCCGTAGAGGATGGTGAACACACTGTGGTGTGGCCAACACAGCTATGGGGACCAAGTATCCACCGGGATAAGTGGACAGATCTGGGGTGCCCTCGGCTGTTAGCAGGAGCATCACAGAGCAGGGCATTCAATTACTCTGGCAATCTAAAAGATGTGGAAAGCAAGGGGAAACTATCAACATTATTATTCCAAGAAACTTATTATGGAAACCGAAAATGAAATTCAAAGATCTGATGGTGAGGCCTCCAGGTCAGGCAGATCTGAACATCAAGGAAGATTGGCTCATTAACAGCATCTTGTCTTGGAACCAGAAATATTTTGGTCATATCAAGTGCCAAATCAGATTGGAGAAAAATCATAGTTGAAGGCAAGGTACGAGGGGCCGACCAACACGAAGATGGGCACAGGATGTAAGTGATTTCTTGAGTGTGAAAGTACATGAGGTGGGAGAGCTGGTGAGCGACCAAGTTTCTTTCAGGCAGACCGTGATGCAAAGGACCTGCTACCTGATGATGAGCATTGTAAGCCCAATGTGCCACTGGCTCTCGCTTTATCTCTCTATTTTTTTTTAGTAAACTTCGGCTAATAAGATCTTTATATATGTATATATATATAAATTTGTGAGAGAGCTGATGATTTAGAGAAGCATTATGATTTTTTATTGTTTTGTTTTTGGGCTGCATGTAATAAAAAGGGTTCAATTTCCTGCAGATTTGGAGACAGTTTCATCATGCGGAAGCTCAGGTGTGCTGTCTGCTGCCACATCAGGGTCCCAGGTTTCTGTTAATTTAGACTGCCAGATGTCAGGAGGTGAATGTGCCGGGGCTTCATGGCCTGATGGCAGTGATAGTGGCTTTGAATCCGTGGAAATCATGAAGGTAAACACACTGTAAATATAACACATTGTTAGAATATAATTAGCCAGGATAATGTATTCATATACTGCTATTATCTCTTTTTCCCCTAATTTGTGTTTTTTCCCATAGTTTTAGAATATGAACAATGTTTTATAGCGACATGTATTCTCTTACACACTGTGGTATTTGTTTTCTCATTTGGGCTTATAATCTAGTTCAGAGATGTGTTTTGATTTTTGTAACTGTTTAGTCTGAATATGAATAACGTGGTTGAAATTTTTTTTATAGCTAATTTCCTTAGTCATTGTGATTCGTGGCAACATGTTTTATTTTTTTTTTGCTGAAGTTTAACCCTGACTTATATTTCACAAGTTTGTTTCCTTTATATTTCACAAGTTTGTTTCCTAATACCTCAGTTCTTATGGCGTCTTTCTTTGATGTTTTAATCATCCCAGTTCATCTGTGTTGGGACAGTTTTTCCTCCCCTTTACTGTCGGTACTGTGATACAGATAACATAATTTACGGAAGGTTATTTGAGTATCCTTTACAGGACATTGTGCAGAACCAACCCCAGCAGCCCCTGGCTGTTGTGTAGTTTCTCTAGGCAATTTACGTCCAGTACTTTGCCATTTCTTTCTGGACGGTCAGCCCCCTGATACCACTGTCGAAACCAACACATGGTGCATGGCCCGCAGCTGGGATTGAACCCAGCACCCTGGCTTTATGAAGCGTTTGCATTGATATCTCCTGTTTGTTATGCACTATTGGTGACCTCGGCCCATTGAAATGGTGTTGAGATATTTTGTGGTTTACATCTGGGTTGTGATATCTATGCCATCCAGCTTAACATATCTAATAAGCTAATTCTCAGTTAGTCACTTTTTATCTGCCAGAATTTAACTTTATCTGCCACATGTTTCCATGAGATTAAATTATATTCATAATCCACAGCCAGCCAATTTTTTTTGCTAAGTATTTACCTTTTAAGATATAAATAGATATCTGGCCCTTGTTCTTTCAGATTTGAATTAATCATATTAGTGAAGCTATTTTGGTGTGTTTCATCGCAGCTGTCAAAAGTAGTAAGGTTCGGGAGTGTTTTTCCAGAGTCTACAGTTGATTTAGACACTTTTTTTTAAAGAATAAACTGAAGGGGTATATTTGTAGTAATTGTTATTTTTTGCAGTCCCATGAGAAAATGGTGCCAACATCTCCAGTGATAGGTGTGCAGGCTGCCGAAGCAGACAGGGAAAAAGCCACACCCACTTTTTTCATTAAACCAGTGACAATGGAAGGGGTGGGAATAAAAGTAGCAGACAGACTTGATGACAGAGGTAAATGTTTATACTTCGAGAGCCCGTTCTGTTTTGAATGTATGCTTGAATCACCAGTTGACACCATTGCCCTCCATGTTGATTCCAGGGCCTCATTGTGGGGGGAAACCAAGTCCCATCACAGGCATGTCGTAAGAGTCAACTAATTCTAGATGTTTCCTTCGAAGTTGGGATGCATCAACCTGTGAGGCGAGGCACTAACCATCTGCATACTAATAAGCCAGATTGGTCAAACAGATTTGCATGCAAAACCATGGTTCTGGAATACCACCTGAGTCCAGAAGGGGATGAACAGCCAGAACATTCCACCAGAGTTTAAAGCTGCTAAATGCAAGGAAGAAGAAGATACTACTGCATTATGAGACATTTCCACACAGTGGCTAGCTGTGTTGCAGAGAGACCGAGCCAAATGTAATTACAACCCAGTGCAATGAAGTTGTAATGAGGTGAAGTTATTATCACTAGAGAATAGAAAACCCCTGGTCTACAGATATTAAATCCCCATTGGTTGAAACAGGAAAACCTGAGATAAAAATAGAATAGAGCCACAGAGAAAGTTGGGAGACAAGAGTATATGGTAAAACACAATGAATGCATGCACAGGTGAATAATTGTTTTTTATGTGAATACCTCATGGAGATATGGATCATATGTGAAGTCTAAAAGCGTAGGGCAAAGGTTCTACAGGGCTTCTGTCATATAGACCTTGGTTGTTGTGCGTGTTTAGTACATTTGTGTGTGCTGAACAGTTCTGTAGTGACTGCAAAGTATGATGGGAACTTCTGTGCGTTTGAGACAAGACAGCTGATGTATTCTCAGTTTGTATTAAGGGGCCAGTGTTGAATGTGTGTAATTCCAATAGTAAGCACTATTCGAGTTTTTGAATAAATGTGGCGGCTAGACTTGTAATTTCCCAAACAACATAGGGACTTGAGGCTGGTGGACGGCTGTTGATTTTCATTGAATAAACTTGAACATGAACTCCTAAAGTCTGAATCCTGTCAAGTACGTCTGTGAGCTGTGTTTGTGAGACCTGAGCAACCACTTACAGCAGACAGCGAAAGTGAGCAAAGTATGAGAGTGGACTCGGTGCAGAAGTTGCTCCTCTATCCTCTCAATTTTGTTTTTTAAAAACATTTTGTTCTTGAATGGTTTAACCCTCCGGAGACAACTCTGCCGATCTATCGGATAACAGCAAAATGGCCAGAAAGATGGCTGGGTCGATCCGTCAACCGGATAATACAAGCCTTGAGATTGGCAGGCAGATTTTCATACCAGTCAATCAGATTGCTTCTTGCATTTCTTGCATATGTGAGCTGTTCATTTATGGCTTTCATGTGAGTTTTTGTTCTGTAATTTTGAACAAACAATAGATTGCACAATTGATTGCCTTGCATATTTTGCTGAATCTTGTCAGGTGCATACTACAGTAACAGTTGATTTACCTGAAGCAAGTAAATGAATTAAAACTGAAGTACAAAATTTACTGCATTCACAAACTGGCGGTTTCACCAGGGTAACCGCAAGATAAAAACAAAGTCTTTCTGTCTGCATAAATCTGGTATACTCCAGTTGATAGCCGAAGCTTCCGCAAACTTCAGTAATCTACGGTTGGCAGAAGTGTAAATAATTAGAAATGCATCATCCTTGTTCACATTGTGCCCAGAATTTAGAATATGGCACACAACTGCTGATGGTGAATTTTTTTTACCAGACTCTTGATTCGTTGTTTTTTAGTTGTTGTTGGTGTTTTGCATTGCTTCTATCCCCCACCGTGGAATATGTTCAGCAACTGGAGAATTTATGTATGTGTGTAAATTAAGAGAATCCCCTCCTGAAGGCTTCGGTTTTTTTTTTTTTGGCACCAAAACTTCTAATAAGGCTCTGTTTTCAAAGAGTTAAAGTATTTTATTGATATTTAGTGCACAATCTAATTATGAACTAATGTATGGACATGTAATGTATGAAGATTCGCAAACTCAGAAGATAACAGGATCTCATTAATTTTCTTCGTTTCTTGTCTGTTATAAAGGTGATCAGCCCCTAGCACTGACAAATAGACAGATATTATCAATGGATTGGCGTAATAATGAAAAGCAGCCATTTTATGTCTTGGTGCAGTCAAAAGAGTTGGTAAGTACTTGCACAGTGTTAGATTTTAGTGTTTTAAATACAACATGAGTTTAAAGTCAAGAGGAATGAATGAATAAGCAACAACAAAAAACAGTCAACAGGTTCAGAATTGGGCACGCTGGCCCATCTAACACTCTGCCCTTCTAATCTCCTTCCTTACATACATCATTTCATTCATACCTGTGTTAACAAGTAATATCACAAATTATCAGCAGCAGCTAAATATTAAATAAAGCCTAGAGTCTGCTCAAATTACACCTACATTTCTAACCACAGTAAACCATAATTGTAATAAATCTAGGGAATGTTAGCTGTTTCTAAAAATACTTTTAGCTTCATCATCATCAATCAGATGCCATCTTCACATTGAAGATTGGCTGCACTAGATCTCCAATACAGTCTGTCTCTTGTCTTCGTTGTACACTCTCTCAGACTTGGTGTCTGTCTGTTGTCTTCGTTGTACACTCTCTCAGACTTGGTGTCTGTCTGTTGTCTTCGTTGTGCACTCTCTCATACTTGGTGTCTGTCTGTTGTCTTCGTTGTACACACTCTCAGACTTGTTGTCTTCGTTGTGCACTCTCAGACTTGGTGTCTGTCTGTTGTCTTCATTGTACACTCTCTCAGACTTGGTGTCAGTCTGTTGTCTTTGTTGTACACTCTCTCAGACTTGGTGTCAGTTTGTTCTCTTCGTTGTACTCTCTCTCAGACTTGGTGTCTGTCTGTTGTCTTCGTTGTACACTCTCTCAGACTTGGTGTCTGTCTGTTGCCTGGAAAGAAGACTGTTATTTCCTGCATTGACACAATTCATTTCTACACCAAGAAAGTTATTCTGTAGTATATTGTCAGGAAAACAGATGACAGGAAGCTCTTGTCTGACTTCATCGTTTACCTGTAGCACTCTGTTATCTGCTCTAGCTACTCTTTCACACAAAATTGTGGTGTATCGGAGATCAACATATCCCCACTTTAGCATCTTTATTGAAATTGAGAAAATGTACCAGTACCTACTCTTGGAAGTAAACTATAAACTTTATGTCCCCCATTCTGCATGTGTGCAGTCTTGTGCTTCTCTTCTTATCTCAAAGAGCTTGAATGAAATTGTTGTGGGGGGAAAGGGGAGAGGGATCACAGCTCTGAAGGTCTTGTATGCAATACAAAAGTTTATGTAAACAAGACTGAATTTTGAGACCTTACTGCAACCTAATGGATTTTAAAAAATACAGGCCTGAAAATTAGGAAGTGGAATCAGATTAATTAGTAAGTGGAATCAGATTAATGTGGAAGTGGAATCCGATTAGGAAGTGAAATCCTATTAATTATGAAGTAGAATAAGATGTGTTGGTTTATTCTGATTAAAGTAAATCTAGAACTATTCTGGCTTAATGTTGGATATTATTCTTTTCTTTCGCATCAGATAAAAATTGTAAACTTGTTTTGCTAATTCACAAAGTGAACTGCAAGACCATATAAATGTTTGAAACCAAATTTGCAAAGAGCATTAACATAAAAATTAACACCAACAAAACAGAGGCCATGACCATAGCCAAAGTTGTCAAAATAAATATCCAGCTTACAGAACACTCTCTGAAACAAATCAAGAACTTCAAATACTAAGGAAGCATAATATTATCAGCTGGAAAAATAAAAGGTGAGATTGATGACAGATGTAACAAAGCAAACCAACTCAAGGGGCAAATCGCACCAATACTAAGAACCAAACATGTATCAGTAGAAACCAAAAGAGCACTCTACGACACAACCTTCTTGCCAAGCCTGTGTAAACAGTGCCAGACCTGGACACTGGCAGAAAAAGAGAATAGAACAATTACAACAACTGAAATGAGATTCCTGCGAAGGGCTCTCAACATAGCAAGAAGAGACCAGATCAGAAACAGTGAAATCCGAAGGAAAATGAGGCTAGCAGCAGCTCTGGATTTCATTAGAAGACAAAAGATTAAATGGTTTTGCCATATAACGTTGATATCAGCAGGCAGTGATGTACAGACCAGGCAGGAAGCGAAAGGCCTACCATGCGAGCGATGGACAGAGGGAATTACAGAGTCCACGGGAATCCTAATGTATAAAGCACAAAAACGGTCTTTTTCTCGTAACCGTAAGGTACAAGAGAATCAGGATGAGATAAGACTGTTTTTTGTGTGTGTGTGTGTGTGCAGTCAGTTTAATATGGGATACAGTTTGTTAGATTAATATTGGATACTGTTTTCTTTGTAGGAAGCGGATGAAGCAAATGATCTAAACAATATGACTGCCTGTAAGTATTACCTTGTGGTTTGATTATTTGTTGGTTGATGCTAATGGTTAACTCTTTGAGTCCCAAGGAACGCATCACGCGCTAATTTGTTACTACTTGGCAGCCCAAACAGCGCGTGACGTGACGGTTTTTAATTTACCACTTATCGGTAATTACATGCCAACCGCTCAATTTAATTTTTCCTTTCCGGTTCTCAAGTGTAAAGTGAACACATGTGGAGTGCATTCGTTTGGGTCTGGTGAGTTTTTAACACTTTAAATCTATATTTGTGTGGTCTACTACATTACCAAACAATTGTCTGAAAACAATATGTCCAATCAGTCATCGTCTTCACGTCCATCAAAGCGATTTACTGCTTTAGAAACATCAAATTTGATAAAACAGTGGATCGATTTAAGTAATGTGGAGTTGGATAATGATAGTAGCAACGTGAAATTTCCCCAAACCGTTGACAAGTCAAGTTTGGATGAGGATGTGTGCGTAATTTACCTTCTGCTAAGAGGACAAAACTGACTAATTCTGCCATGGCAACACAAGAGAAGCACCTCTTAACGCGACACCAGCTAGTCCAAATGTCAGCGTTTCTAGTACTACTATTCATATAACCTAAAACCATAGATATATATCTATGAACAGGTTGACATGTTTACATTGCCTTTACAGATTTTCTATGTGAGGAATTCAATTGTTTTTAGAAAAGTCAGTGTTTGTGCCACTGGAGAATATATTTTGAAGTGTTATGGTAGTGTTATTAAAATTGCTATGGAACAACAACTATTGCACATTTTGCTTTAATATTGGCTGTGCATACTTATAAGTTGTGTACCTTCCTTTGTGATGCATTTTGGATATACTATATCAAGAATTTTAGGATCAGCTTCTGGATAAGTGGAAAAAACTTGTTCACAATTTACTCACCTCTCAAACTAAGTCACTGTTTTCTCTGCTAAATACTAACAGTATAATTGTTTGTTGTAGCAGTATGCTAATATTAATCCTTATCCATTTATTTTTAATTTTATGTATGATATGTGTATGTTGGACATCAGCTGCAGTTGTGTGGTTTGTTTTAAAGTGCTGCATTTGTTAAAAGTCAAAATCTTATTACTCCCCCTCCCCTCTTGGGCTTCTGATGCAAAACCCCCTGGGACTCAAAGAGTTAATGTCTTATGTGTCTTGATATTAACATCTAATGTGTATGTTAATGTTTTACGTCTCATATGAGTTAATGTTCACATCTTAAATGAGGTAATTTGTCACATCTCACATGTGTTAATTTTTCACGACTTGTGTGTGCTGTAATGTTTCACAGATTTCATGTGTATTAATATTTCACATCTTGTGTGTCATGTTTCTTATCTCATGGTTCTTGCACATCTCATGTATGTTGAAGTTTCACATCTCATTTGTGTTAATGACTCATATCTCATGTGTTAATGTTTCACATCTTATGTGTGCTTTAATGTTTCATAGATCTCAGTTACGTTAATATTTCACACTTTTTCACATCTTTTGTGTAAGTTTTCTCATATCATGAGCATTAATGTTTCCTATCCCACTGTGCTCTTTCTTATTGGTTTGGTGATTCAATCTCATATCATGAGCAATAATGTTTCCTATCCCACTGTGCTCCTTCTTATTGGTATGGTAAATAAAAAATTAAACACAACAACAAAAGGAAAATAAAACTTTTCATACTGAAAAATATACAGAAATAAATCGTTTCTGTAAAGTCAAGTCAGGAGGATTGATCTTATTGCACTAAAGGTACCCCCTTTTTTTTAAATGTTTGTTTTTAATTTGAATTTCTAATTTTCCTTTTTCCTACATAATTTTTGTATTGTTCTCGCTTTCTTGTTTCCTTTCTTTTATCTTTAAATAATTGAAATTACTATAATTTATTGTCTACCTCAGATGTGTTCTCCCCTTCTATACTTACCATTAAGCATAGGGATGTATGAAGCCTAAGCTTACAGTTTTAGGACCACATATGTTGCTTCGGTTGTGTTGTAGCTATATTTGTTAAAGCACTGTTGATTTTATATATCCATTGCTTTCTTCACCTTCCCATAACCCTGTGTGCAGATCTATTTTGGTTGAATGTTTACACTGACAGTTAGTTGCTCAGGTTTCATTCTCATTAGATGTGTTGAACCAATTTACTTGTCTTTTTGTGCAGTCAAGTGACATTGTTATTTGTATTATCATATTTTTAATGTTTGTTTTTATCCTGAATCAATAATTTTTTGATAAATAGACACCAAGAGGGTGTGCGTGAAATCAAAAATTTGATATGAGCATACATTAACAAAGACGCACTGACTAGTGTCTTGTATTGTCTCTTCACCAGCTTGCAGCAACAGGCCGACATTACATCATTGTCTGGAGCTGTTTACGGAGCCAGAGATTCTCAGTCCCGAGGAAGCTTGGTTGGTTTTTTTTTTTTAAGATGTGGTTTTATCTTCCTTGTTTGTTGAACTAGTTGTTTACTGTTTGTGGAACCAGTTGTTTATTTTGTTACTGATTTTATCTTCCTTGTTTGTGGAACTAGTTGTTTATTTTGTAGATACAATTTTATCTTCCTTGTTTGTGGAACTAGTTGTTTATTTTGTAGATACAATTTTATCTTCCTTGTTTGTGGAACTAGTTGTTTATTTGGTAGATGTGATTTTGTCTTCCTTGTTTGTGGAACTGGTTTTAATGTTTGAGAGTAGATATGGTTTTTCATTCTGCTGTATAGAATAGGTTAGTGGATAATGATGAATCTCTGACATTAACACAGTTACATTACATTGGAGTGAAGCATGGTGAAGGCTCGAGGCCGAGATCAGAGACGTTAAAACAAGCTCCTCGTGGGAACAATCAGTAAAAATATCTTGGAGTGGCTGCTGCATCAGAGGACCACATTACAGATCTTGCTTATTCGTGTGCAGACTGTTGGTTCCTCACTTCTTAGGCAGAGGCACTCTGACTTCAAAGGAAACACCCCTAATTGGTCAACTTTGACAATATGCTTTTTATGGGGGGGGGGGGGGGGGGGTCTATTTCTCTTCCCCACTATGGGGTCCTAGGACCCACACAGGGAAAAAAACAGATGTTAAATAAAGTTTATAATCTTTGTCTTATTACTGTATGCTTTTTTAACAGATTGTTTTGTTTGCTGAGCATGTTGGTTTATTTTACAGGTACTGTCCATCCTGCAAGAAACATGTAGAGGCCAGCAAGCAGATGACAATTTGGCGTCTTCCCTACATTTTGATCATACAGTTGAAGAGATTCTCTTTCCAGAACTTTCTTTTGAGAGCCAAAGTGAAAAAGCATATTGATTTTCCAATAAGGTAAAGGCTGTTGTTTCACTTCTTAGTCAGATAAAATGTTTTCACTGCCTGAGCTACTGAGTTTGGTGCTTGGTACAGTGTTTTTTTTTTTTTTTTTACATGTAGAATGTCTTTCATTTGTGCAGCGGTTGAGTCATTGTATTAAGTGTTGCAGGTAACTGGTTTACATGTGGGCTGGTGAAATACCTTGTGCAATAATTTTGCCTGTGTATAGCCAGCTTATCGTTCCCAACTACTTACATCAGCGACGAACTGCATTTCTGGTGGCGACTAATGGCTTTGGAGCCTTTAGCAACTGCTATATAGATTTACTGCGTGCGTATATTCCAGATTGTACCGGGATTAATTGTTTGTTCACCAGTTGTTTTAAATAGGACAGTGAAGGACATTTTATTTGATTTGCACTGGCACAGGAACGGAGAAAGTAAAGGGAACCCCGATTGCGGTGAAGTTGAAACCTTGACTAAGACTAAGGCTAATGTCCATATGCACCAGTTTTCTTCCTGAAATTGGATGGTTACTCATAAAAACTTCAGCACTCTTCTCATAGAAACATGAAAAAAGGACATCAGGTGGAGTGCAGAGTTTAGTTTACACATTAATATTCAGAAAACAAAAACTAAAATTAACAAAGGAAAAGAGTGGCCAGAGGTGGACATCACAGTAAACAGAGAGATAAAAAACAAGTTTGGGATTTTGTTAATGGTTTATACAACGGATCAACATCATGGCACAAGGGTAGTAACTCATAAGTGCTCGTTTTACTTATAACTCAAGCCTGAGTCCGAAGAATCTCAGCGCAGTGCACGAACTCTGTAGCACCGACAAGGATCCTGAAATATTTTGGGTAGATTTTTAACTCAAAATTTTGCCTGGGAGCGCCGTTAGGCTACTCTTTTCAAATTCCAGCTGCCAGGGGATTTTCTACGGGTGCAACAATACACATTGGCGTAGGATCCTACTACGGGAAATTACTAGAAGTCCTCGTGAAAAAATCCCAGCCTTCACCAGGCCTGAACCTGGAAGCTCCAACACTCGAGGCGGACGCCATGCCTCGAGACCACTCAGCCCCCTGAACAAATAACAAGTTTCTCCTATCCTGGACATGTAATAACAAATGATGGTAGCAATTAAAAAGAGAGTAGGAATGGCTAACAATGTCTTCGACAAGATGCCATCATTATTGACAGCTAGAGAGAGTAACAACACAATGAGCATGAGAACTGTCAAATATTATGAATAATCTGCCAACAAGCAATTAGAAAATCTCTAGAGGATCTGGAGTTGCAGATATACAGAAGAGTAGATCATAATTGATGGAAACAAAAACAAATCAAATCTAGATGTTTTAAAGAGATTGCAAAGGAAAAGAGAATTGCTGAAAAGTATTTAAATAAAAAAATAAATAAAAAATGACAGTTGAGATATTTTGGGGACATTTAAAGACATAAAACTCTTTTAAAAACCATAGTGGAGGGAAAAGATGAAGGCAAGCAAGCAAGATGTAGACAGTGATACAAGTGGGAGGTCAACATCAAGAGATGGACGGACAGCAGTCTGAGAGAGTGTACTACCAAGACAAGAGACAAAGTGCGTTGGAGATCCATTGCAGACAACCTTCGTTGTGGAGATGGCAACCTGACTAATTGACTGAGAAAAAAAAATGACATAGCCATAGTTTTTTTTTTTTAATAATTTCTCATTTTACTTATCATCAAGATACATCACTGGTCTAGTGGTTTTTGTGCTTATGTACCAATCTATTCACTCTCCTCACCCTGCTTTCAACAGTCCCCACACCTTTTCTGGCTGTTTCCTCATGACCACATGGCCCCAAGATTGACCCAACCTCTTAAAATTAGTAAATGTTCAGGGAGTTTTGGTAAGCAGAAATAAAGGTCCATTTTCAAGTCATTGGTGCAGTGTGATGCTAAATTATTTTGAGTGCTGATTCGTCTTTGAACTTACTGGTTGGCACCATATATCCTCAAAGAAAAAAATGCTTTAAATTGTGAAAATCAGTGGGTTTTTTAATCGTATAAATAATACATTTCATGAATACTGGCCTGTGATGATAGGCAGCTCAACATCAGCTGATCTGTATGCAGACTTTCATGATGCGCTAGTTAACCCAGACAAGAAGTGGAACTAGTCAGCTTTAAAAAAAAATAGTGACGAATGACAGAATTAATGTTATGGTTAGGATGCCTTCAGCAGCATAGAACTATACAGACAAGTTAAAAGTCTAGAAGATTTACTTGTTTTAGCTAGAAAGCCTTCAGCAGCGTACAACAATACGGACAAGTTAAAGTCTAGAGGATTGACTTCATTGCACTGGGTTTTATTTTGTATTCCTTGGTCTCTCTCACATAGTAGCAAGCTGCCTGCCAAAAGCATTGCACAGAGCACAAACTCTGTAGCTCGAGTGATGATCCCCAGGATTTGTGTAAAAACTGCACCTGTGAACTGAACCTATGTCTGTGAAATCAACCCACAACCTTTAGAGCTTATGGCAAATGGTTTAACCATGTTTCCATAGTCACTCCTAACAACAATTACATAAAAGACTGTATAATAACTTAATTGTTTGGAGAATTAAAACAACTCTTAAGTGAATTGTTCCTCTTCTTTTCTCTACTGGAATGCCTCACAGCATCAGGAAAGGAAGAGATTTCTAGAACAGGTTTTTCTGTTCGCTTTGTATATATTATTTTCAGTGTCTCTGATATTTCTGAGGTCCATCTTGTGTGTGGTCAACCTGTAGGTCTGTTACCACTATATCTGTATAATATTGCTCTCTGTGGTGGCCTGTCTGTTGCCAATCTTGTTACATGGCCAAACCATTTGATTTGTTGTCTACCTATAAAGTACACTATTGGTTATGTGCCGATTCTCCTTCTGATATCATCGCTCCTAAGTCGATCTTTCCTCACTACAGCAAGCATAGTACGTAAACATTGCATTTCTGTCGTGACTATTTTCCTTCTGTTTTCCGAAGACAGTGTCCATAATTGACATTGACAGCAGAGTGTTGGTAAGAATATTGTGTTAAACAGTGTTCTTTTAGTGTTCATATTCACATGCTTGGGTTTCAAAATTGGTGCCATTTGGCCTAAGACTTGTTTGGCTTTATTGCATCTGTGTTGGATTTCTCTATTTATTTTTCCGTCTTCTGAAAAAAATGCTTCTTAGATATAATTTGTGGATTATCCATGCATAAATCTGGTTATCATTGATTGCTGAAGTGTTTGCTTGCTTCCACAGAGGTTTAGATATGAGTGGGTACTGCGTCGGTCTGAGACCAGATGAACCTAAACCTGTGTACGATCTGTATGGTGTCGTCAACCATCATGGTCTCCTCATTGGAGGACATTATACTTCTTACGTCAAGTGTTTTGGAGACAGCACCACAGGATCTGATGAAATTGGTGAGTTGTTTAAATGTTGGCCAGTTGACATTGTTATTGTTGTTTTGTTTTGTTTTTCAAATTTTTTGTTTACTGAGAAACACAACAAAAACTCACACACTCATAACATTTGTGTTGGAGATGTGTATTTGTGTGTGTGTGTGTGTGTGTGTGTGTGTGTGTGTGTGTGTGTGTGTGTGTGTGTGTGTATATAATATACACACATACTTGTTGTTCTTCATCATCGTCTTCTTCCTAACACATTCTATAATTAATAATGAACAGCTTTCATCTTTTTAGTCTCTCCTCTTCTACCTTGGGGTTTAGTGATTTGCCAGAGAGATAGCCAGACCTCTGCAGTTTTTGTTTTTTTTCCAAGCTTTGCCTCCCGGCGAAACCTGGTTTGTCCTGGTGGTTCTTGGCCTGCCATGGTGGACGATTTTGTGAACACCTTTAAATAACAACTACTACTATTATGAGTACATGAACTGTGCATTCCAATTTGCAGGCACCTTAAAAAAGGCATTTTTAAATTTAGTTATCACCTGCTAAATTAATAAATTAATTGCTGTTTGATGGAGGAGATGTAACTGTATTTTAGTATAGTTACTTTAGAATTTTGTTTTAGAACACAATATTTTATGTCTTTTTTTTTAAACACAATATTTCATTAAACTCTCTTAAAGACACAGGTATACAGTATTTTCTTATAATTTTTTTGTTTTTTTAATTTATAGTGCTTCATGAATTTGTATATTTTAGTTTAATTCATTCACTTTGTTACTGTGTTTTAATAAACATATATGATTTTATCATTGTATTTTACTGTTTAGGTTATTTTGGGATTTTCTTTTAATACACAGCATTTCAGCATTTTAATTTCAGACATACTAATTCTTTTTGTGTTTTTTTTTAATTCACCATATATTTTATAATTTTTTTGTTTCAATACCTACCATTTCACAATTGTGTTTTTCATACACAGTGTTTCATGGTTGTCTTTTTTAATATTCTGACAGGCTGGAGGCTATGTGATGACAGTCGGGTCACCCCAGTTGCCAATGAGAAATCTGTGGTCACTTCAGACGCATACTTGTTGTTTTATCGTCGCCGTGACCAGCAGGTGGTCATTGGATCTTCTTGTCACATTCAAGACATGGAAGTCAACGGACCCTCTTTGTTTTCGGAGCCTGAAGTCATATGCCCCAGTTCTTTAGACGAAAGGAATGGCAACATCCCAATATCTCAGCGCACCATTATATCAGAGTCGACAAAGTCATTGAAGGGTCTCCACCAGGCGGAGGTTTTAGACAATGAGATTATGAGTACGGACACTGTCTCCTGGGAAGACCAGGAGAATGTGGGTGAACCACATGTGAGCCAGCCCTGCTTGAGAAACATCAGCATTGGCAGGATGGACAGCGAGAATATGAATAGGCAGAACATTATTCGAGAAAAACACTTTCCAGACAAAAGTCCAATACCATTTATTTCTCAGTTGCAGGATGAGGCTCAGTGTTTGTTGGGCAACAGTGAGCAACAGTTAGAAGAAGAAATAACAGAGAAAGGGGACCCAGAGAAAGAATTCCTAGATTATGACATACAGAAGGACACAGGCTTTAGTTATGATGATGATGATGATTTTGATGATGATGATGATGATGGAGAGGGTAGAAATCTCATGATTGATATGAATGATCTCAGTTATACTGATATGGAAGCAGTGGACTGATGGATGTATAACGGCCACAGATGGTCCTCTTGCATGTCTCATTGATCCTGGTCACACATGTAATGAACTTTGTCAGTCATGGGTCTCTTGTATATCACACATCTGATCTACTTTGTCAGACATGGGTCTCTTGTATATCACATATCTGATCTACTTTGTCATTCATGGGTCTCTTGTATATCACATATCTGATCTACTTTGTCATTCATGGGTCTCTTGTATATTACACATCTGATCTACTTTGTCATTCATGGGTTTCTTGTAAATCACACATCTGATCTACTTTGTTATTCATGGGTCTCTTGTATATCACATATCTGATCTACTTTGTCAGTCATGGGTCTCTTGTATATCACATATCTGATCTACTTTGTCAGTCATGAGTCTCTTGTATATCACATATCTGATCTACTTTGTCAGTCATGGGTCTCTTGTATATCACATATCTGATCTACTTTGTCATTCATGGGTCTCTTGTATATTACACATCTGATCTACTTTGTCATTCATGGGTCTCTTGTATATCACATATCTGATCTACTTTGTCATTCATGGGTTTCTTGTATATCACATATCTGATCTACTTTGTCAGTCATGGGTATCTTGTATATCACATATCTGATCTACTTTGTCAGTCATGGGTCTCTTGTATATCACATATCTGATCTACTTTGTCAGTCATGGGTCTCTTGTATATCACATATCTGATCTACTTTGTCATTCATGGGTCTCTTGTATATCACATATCTGATCTACTTTGTCATTCATGGGTCTCTTGTATATCACACATCTGATCTACTTTGTCATTCATGGGTCTCTTGTATATTACACATCTGATCTACTTTGTCAGTCATGGGTCTCTTGTATATCACATATCTGATCTACTTTGTCAGTCATGGGTCTCTTGTAAATCACATATCTGATCTACTTTGTCAGTCATGGGTCTCTTGTATATCACATATCTGGTCTACTTTGTCATTCATGGGTCTCTTGTATATCACATATCTGATCTACTTTGTCAGTCATGGGTCTCTTGTATATCACGTATCTGATCTACTTTGTCAGTCATGGGTCTCTTGTATATTACACATCTGATCTACTTTGTCATTCATGGGTCTCTTGTATATCACACATCTGATCTACTTTGTCATTCATGGGTCTCTTGTATATCACATATCTGATCTACTTTGTCAGTCATGGGTCTCTTGTATATCACATATCTGATCTACTTTGTCATTCATGGGTCTCTTGTATATCACATATCTGATCTACTTTGTCATTCATGGGTCTCTTGTATATCACACATCTGATCTAATTTGTCAGTCATGGGTCTCTTGTATATCACATATCTGATCTACTTTGTCATTCATGGGTCTCTTGTATATCACATATCTGATCTACTTTGTCATTCATGGGTCTCTTGTATATCACATATCTGATCTACTTTGTCATTCATGGGTCTCTTGTATATCACATATCTGATCTACTTTGTCATTCGTGGGTCTCTTGTATATCACACATCTGATCTACTTTGTCATTCGTGGGTCTCTTGTATATCACACATCTGATCTACTTTGTCATTCGTGGGTCTCTTGTATATCACACATCTGATCTACTTTGTCATTCGTGGGTCTCTTGTATATCACATATCTGATCTACTTTGTCATTCATGGGTTTCTTGTATATCACATATCTGATCTACTTTGTCAGTCATGGGTCTCTTGTATATCACATATCTGATCTACTTTGTCAGTCATGGGTCTCTTGTATATCACATATCTGATCTACTTTGTCAGTCATGGGTCTCTTGTATATCACATATCTGATCTACTTTGTCATTCATGAGTCTTTTGTGTATCACACATCTGATGGACTTTGTAATTCGTTGATCTTAAAATAAATAGTTCTTTTACCTGTATGAAACATCTGCATGCCCCTATCAATGATAAAATTATCTTACTTGTGTATTACTGTCACTGATAATTCTTGTATTTGTGTATCACACATCTGATGGATCATGTCACTGATAGTTCTTTTACTTGTGTATCACACATCTGATGGATCCTGTCACTGATAGTTCTTTTTACTTGTGTATCACTCATCTGATGGATCCTGTCACTGATAATTCTTTTACTTGTGTATCACACATCTGATGGATCCTGTCACTGATAGTTCTTTTACTTGTGTATCACACATCTGATGGATCCTGTCACTGATAGTTCTTTTACTTGTGTATCACACATCTGATGGATCCTGTTACTGATAATTATTTTACTTTCATTTTACACATCTAATGGATCCTGTTACTGATCATTTGTCTTGTGCGTATATATATGTATATATGTATATATATATATATATATATATATATATATATATATATATATATATATATATATATATATATATATATATATATATATATATACACAAGACAAATCTGATATATATAAAACACATTTTGTCACTGATAAAGTTCATATGCAGCATCACTCAGCTTATCTGAAGCACTTCCGAGTTTTTAAATAATTCAAATTTTGTACTGTTTACTTAAAGGTTATTAGCAACATTAACCTACATGCAGACGACCATCATTTTCTGTGAGCTTTGGTAATCTTTCCCACTTTAATGTTAAGTGATTGGTCAAACAGCAGCTTTAGCTTCAGAGAATGTTGTAGCAAGCACTCATAACTTGTTTTTATTTTTAGAAGTTTTAACACACACATTTTTGCCCAGTTTTTAATTTGTAATACCAGTCATCTCTGCAAATATTCTCAGACACCTGCGAGTGCCCAAGTTTGTGTTTTTATTTTTTCTTAGCACTCGCCAGCGGAAAGTTCTTGTTGTTTGTCCACTTCCTAATTTTCTTTTTACAGGTCTTATCCGTGATATGTTACCTTTAAAAACGTGCTTGTTGGGGAGTCAGTGGATCTATCTCTCTCCCTTCCCCTCCCCAAAACCTTTCTATCTATCAGTGGTCTGAAGAGTTTCCCAGCGATTTACTTCTGTGTATTTTAATAAGAATGCGAATGACTAGTTTTCAAGATTACATTATCATGTTGTATGAAAGTTGTATGTTTTCCAAGAATTTCCTTTGTAACTTTTTCCTTTCTTTTTTTTTTTTTTTTTAAAATTATAATTATGATATCCATGTCGACCTTCTGTCTTCTCTCTGATAATTTAACTTCCAATGTGCCATTTGAAATGAAGACACGAATATATGGCAGCTTTAATGCCTGAAGTTGTGTGTAGTCATAAATTGAGTTGTTATTCTGAAGTTAGTAAACAGAAGGTAGTAATAAACTTAGTTATTGCTCTAATGTTAGTAAATATGAAAAAGTAATAAATTGAGTTGTTATTCTGAAGTTAGTAAACAGAAGGTAGTAATAAACTTAGTTATTGCTCTAATGTTAGTAAATATGAAAAAGTAATAAATTGAGTTGTTATTCTGAAGTTAGTAAACAGAAGGTAGTAATAAACTTAGTTATTGCTCTAATGTTAGTAAATATGAAAAAGTAATAAATTGAGTTGTTATTCTGAAGTTAGTAAACAGAAGGTAGTAATAAACTTAGTTATTGCTCTAATGTTAGTAAATATGAAAAAGTAATAAATTGAGTTGTTATTCTGAAGTTAGTAAACAGAAGGTAGTAATAAACTTAGTTATTGCTCTAATGTTAGTAAATATGAAAAAGTAATAAATTGAGTTGTTATTCTGAAGTTAGTAAACAGAAGGTAGTAATAAACTTAGTTATTGCTCTAATGTTAGTAAATATGAAAAAGTAATAAATTGAGTTGTTATTCTGAAGTTAGTAAACAGAAGGTAGTAATAAACTTAGTTATTGCTCTAATGTTAGTAAATATGAAAAAGTAATAAATTGAGTTGTTATTCTGAAGTTAGTAAACAGAAGGTAGTAATAAACTTAGTTATTGCTCTAATGTTAGTAAATATGAAAAAGTAATAAATTGAGTTGTTATTCTGAAGTTAGTAAACAGAAGGTAGTAATAAACTTAGTTATTGCTCTAATGTTAGTAAATATGAAAAAGTAATAAATTGAGTTGTTATTCTGAAGTTAGTAAACAGAAGGTAGTAATAAACTTAGTTATTGCTCTAATGTTAGTAAATATGAAAAAGTAATAAATTGAGTTGTTATTCTGAAGTTAGTAAACAGAAGGTAGTAATAAACTTAGTTATTGCTCTAATGTTAGTAAATATGAAAAAGTAATAAATTGAGTTGTTATTCTGAAGTTAGTAAACAGAAGGTAGTAATAAACTTAGTTATTGCTCTAATGTTAGTAAATATGAAAAAGTAATAAATTGAGTTGTTATTCTGAAGTTAGTAAACAGAAGGTAGTAATAAACTTAGTTATTGCTCTAATGTTAGTAAATATTAAAAAGTAATAAATTGAGTTGTTATTCTGAAGGTAGTAAATGGGGGTAATAATAAACTGAGTTGTTATTCTTCATGTGGGATACTTTTTTTGTGTGCTGATCAGGATATATTTTGGGTTTGTGTGAGTATTTCTATTGTTTTCTTTGTTGATACATACTATGGTTAAAATGTTTGCTTGTGTCTTTCCTATTGCTGAGCTTCCTAATTCAGTTTTATGTTATTCATCCATTAGTGGTGATACAGACTGTTTTCATATTTTGTGCTTAAACTGGCTAAATGTTCCATCATCACAAATCGTTTATCATCAATACTGTATTGTTTTTGGCTCATGTGATCTTGTCTGTCCTTCCTGTTTCTTTGGCTGTATTTGTTGCTTTTTTTTTAAAGAAAGTTTCAGAAACAACTGACCTGCTGCATTTTTCTTGGCTTTTGTGTGTGTTTTTAGTCTATTTGAGCTCCTCATTTCTACACAGGCTTTTAATGCTGTCTCGAGACTTTTCTTCCTGTCTGTCTTTTTTTTTTTTTTTAATTAAAGCTGGATCTACAGGGCCGTTTACATTCAAATATTTGTTAATAAGGTATTTTTTTTATTACATGTTAGTGGTTTTG